TTGATAACCCTTTGGTTGTTTTAAGCACCCGGCCTATGCATATTTTAAAGAAATATCCAGTGAATATGTTCTGTATAGGACTTGTAAGAAGCTCGGACAAAATGAATCAGCATCCCAGAAACTGATGTGAACTTCGTTTCCCAGCTTCTGCACACACCGCTCCCTCCCCTGAGTGCTTCGGTTGCTAGGGGACCAGAAGACTAATTTGGCCATTGCATTGGATGTGCAGCTCAAAGGCTTTCTCACTGAGAATTTTTTGATCTTTACATTTTTCATTACATGCCAGGGACAGTCCAAAGGGAAATGCGAGCAATTTGTCACACAGGAATTCATGATTCCCTGATAGCTCAGTGCTATTTCGGTGGAGACAAAGTAGCTTGTCGGGGATGTCTTGTACACAGGACAATAGAGCATGTACTTCTAGGTGTCGTATGTCTTCATATCACATGTAGATAACAAGAGACATACTGACAAAGCTGAACAAAGCCATTCATTTTGAAATGGCATCATTAGGCTGAGACAACAGGAGAGAGACGGGTTAAATATTCTGATCAGAGCGGCTTTAATTCACCTTTTAATCTCAGCGGATCAAATGACAGAGTGAAATACGAATTGTGTCATTCAAGTCTGCAGTGGTGTGAAGTGTTGACATCTTTGAATTCAGTTTGTTTTTGATGGGAAGCCACAAAACGTCAGCGAAGACGACTCGCACATCATAAAACGCCAGACAGACTGGTGCGAGACAGAGCGAAGACGACGAATCAGATGTTGAACTTGAAAAAAGTTATGTCCTTATGGCGGATAGATGCTCCTTTTAAATTTGATGACAGCAACATGTTTTCGGAAAAGTTGGGAAAGAGACGACGCGACACTAAAAAAAGTTGTGTAACGCTGAAAAAACAACAGCTGAAGTAGCATCTGGAAACTAATTTGGTTCATTTTCAACAGTTTAGTAACAGGAATGAGTGTGAAAATGGCATTTCGAAGAAGTTAAATGTCTTGGGAGTAAAGGTGGGAAGAGATTTCTCATTGTTTGTGTGGACGAGGAGTTCAATAATTTCAGAGAAATGCTTTTCAATAACTGAAAAACATCTGAAAATCTAAAGAAAACTGAGCAAAAGAGACAAGACTGAAAACCAGAAGTGAATGGCTGTGATTTCAAGGCTCTCTGGGGGCACTAAATCAACAAAAAGACATGGCTCTGTACCATATGACCTTGAAACAACTTGTGTAAAACAAACAAAAACAGCCTTCATGTGTGTTTTGCCAAGACTATACTACTCCTTTTCAGCTAAAAACATTGTTTTTTTTGCATTGAAACTGTGTTGAAACTGAAATTTAATCAGATCTGGGACACAATTTGAAAAATTAAAGCACCTATAAGGATTTTTTCAACATTCATGAAATAGACTGAAATTCGTATTGATGTCTTTTCATGACATCCAAAAGGAAACAAACAGCTAGCCAAAATGGACACAAACAGGAGAGTTCAACATTTCAGAACTGTGTCGCAGAGGAGTGTTGTGTTGTTCGCGAACGATTCGTTCAAAAGAACCGAATCTTTTAAGTGCACGTACTGAACCGAATCACTTCCTCAAGCGATTTGATCGTTTCTCACTTGAGTTGAGCTGTCAGCAGGGCAGCATTGCCAGGCGAGCAGTTGGCGAATGAGGGACCGCCTGAATCACTTGGTGAACGAATCACGCATTGAACTACGCTCTCTGGAATCATTTTCCTCAGACTAAAATCCTTTTTTTTCACTGCTAAATTGCCACCACAACAACTTCCATACAATAGGACACAATATGTAACAAGTAGTGCACAAAACCCGCAACATCCTATAATTGCAGTGGTTTGTGAGGGAACGGTGTAGGGCTATTCCTCGAATACCTCAAGTACCTCGATTACAAATAATGATCAAGGAATTTTCTCTGCCTCGAGTACTCGTTTATAAGCTCAAATCGTCACTGTTTCACACAGATTCTTTTGAAGGTGACACAATGCTCTTACATCACCATGGTAGAAGGAGGAGTTAGCGCTGTTTAGGTTTTGCGGAGCGAAAAGGTAAATAATGAGAGGGGCTTTTCTTGCAGTGTTGCCAATCTAGAGACTTTAGCGACTTTTCGCTCTTGTTCTGCGATTGTCCTCTATTTCTCTGAGTCTGGCCTTCATTGCGGGGCTATAGGAAATCTGCCATTTGGGTCCAATTACTTGAGTAATCGATGGAATATTCAGTAGAATACTCGATTACTAAAATATTCAATAGCTGCAGCTCTAGAACGCAGCATGTTCAGTGTGAATTCTAAATGTTCAGTGAACGAATCACTCCCTGAGCCCAGTTTACTGTGCAGACCTGATAAATAGCATACCATAGGACAGTACACTTAAAACATCATGACTTACAAACAAGTTCATTTTTACAAACCTGTTTGCCAAAGCAACACAGCCAAACACTCTTGTCTCCTGGTCCCAGAAGCTATGAACTGAAGCGCTGAACTATTCAGTGATTCGGTGAACGAATCTTTTGAACGAATCTTTTTAGTGAACTGATTTTAGTGTTTCAGTACATCTAAAAGAACAGCTATGCCCATCACTATTACCATGTGTAAAATCCACTGAAGTAAATCATGGATTCAGAGAAGGAGAAGGACCTTGCATAGGCCTTGCAAGACAATGCCAAACCATATTCTGCGATCGCATGGCTCAGCAGTAGAAGAGTCCTGCATGCAGTCCAAACTACTCACCTACTGCACACATATCTGATCATCATTGAATGGAAAGTATGACAAAGAAGACCCCTAACAGCAGGAACCCCATATGAGGCAAGACTGGGAAAGTATTTTTTTTAATTTAAAACCCTCTAGAAAGTCTTCTCCATAGTTCCCGAATGTTTACAGAGTGCTGTGAAAAGAAGAGGTGATGCAACACAAGGGTAAAGAAGCTCCTGTTGCAACTCATTTGAAGCATGTTGCTAACATTGGGTTAAAAAAAGCATATGTTTCCCATAAATAATAAATCAGTCTCTGTATTTGATTGATTTTCGACTGGGTGTCAGGTTTACGTCTGATTTTATTAGCACTTCAATTGAATCCGGGTTGTATGAAGAGGATGAGAATATGATCAAAACATGACCAGAACATTGGATTTATAAATAAACCATCAAAGATCTCTATTATGTATACAAGGCTCCACTCCATACTCAGCACTCCTGCAGCAGCTGGCTCCAGTGATCCACCTTCTGTGGGGAGGTTTTGCGTGTGATCCTCACGCAGTAGCACCTCCTCCTCCTCCTCTCACCCCTCCTCCGGCGGGGATCACACCAGCCTCTTCATCCCCCCTCTGACTTTTGTTCCGCATCACCTTTTATGAAGCTGATTCGAGCGTCAGCACTTTTCAGAAGCACTCGGCGCCGTCCCTCCAGCGCACACACGATCAAGTGCGTTCCCGAGGCTGCCAGCTTGTCATTTAATGCCTCGATGAGGTAGACGCGCGGGTACGCCAACACGGCTTTCAAGAGGGACGGTGTGATTAAAAAAGAGAGGAGGAAAAAAAAAATAATGCTGCGAGAAAATAAATGCCTGCAGCAGGGAACGCAGTGGGGGTCCCGATGATGGGTGGATGCCTTAAGCGCTGACAGCTTTCAAGAGACAGTGATTGCCTTGTTGGCTTTCTTTTACATTTCAGGACGGAAGTAGCTGCCTTTGTTGTCAGAGCAACATCACATCTTCCCAAACATTGTGTACTTTGCTGCTGCATTGCAGAAAGAGCCTTTTTTTTTAACCAATATTATCTCAGATGCATGGATAATTGGATTAGTTAAAAATAAAAGAATTGAACGAACAAAAGCCGTCTCTCTTTTGTTGTTTATTTCTCCCCTCATATTTCATGTTTCTGCCTTTGTTTCCCATGCTGACTCAATACTTTCCCCTCATTTGTCGGCAGCCTAAAGGACAAAAACAGAATCCCTCGGGTTGCGCTGGAACACACGCCGACTTGCTCACATACACACTCACTCAGGGGGATGCCGCATGCACGCACGCAGAGTTTGGCTAACAACGCTGCCCTCTCCTCTTTCATTAGAGCCACGCACAGGTGCAGAGCGTGCTCCGAGCTGATGAAAAATGATTTATCAAAGTCCGCGGTGGCATTGCGGCAACCTTTCTCCTCCAAATGTCACCTTCAAAGGAACTCCTTTCTCGCTCTTGTAGCATTGTTCAAAGGCAACAGATCCCTGAAATGGCCTAGGGCATCTAAATGAGGTTCCCATTATGAACACTATGATTAAGTGTCCCCCTGCTGCAGTAACGAATCCATGACTCACCTCACCCCACCTTTAATCTACATTGTCTGCCTGAGAAAAGGGCAAAGTCGCTCTTCTCACCTATCAAACCCCTTTTCCTAATTGATCATGATTTCACTTTGTTCAAGGCTTTTGGCTCTTTCAGCAGTCCTGGCGTGGGCTGAGATGTGGTTTCAGTCGCTCCGGGGTTAGACGTAGAAAATCTGTCATTATACGATTAAGGTAATTTGCTTAACCACATAAAGATTGTGGGGGACCGGCTGGATGAAAAGAGGGCGACGTTTTCGTGCCACACAAGAAAGGGGAGAAAAGTCCTCCGAGGGAACTTTTAAGGACTCAAAAAGTTCCTTGTGATGAGTTTCGTCCTTGAGCTGAATGATTCAATAAATGTCATGAGGTCATCTCACACAATTCAGGTAATTGTTGATTAAGGTGACCTTGATTTTACTACTTAGTAGCAGCACATGCCCCTTGCTAGTGAATTTTGTTTTGTGGGATGGTAGGGGAAGATCCCTCCCTTCGTCGCCTCTGATTGGCTAGAAGTGATGGGCTCTGATTGGTTATTCCTTATGGTTGTGAAACTTCATTGTCTGTTAGGTTAGGGTAAGGGTTAGGGTGAGGATTAGGATTAGGGTTAAGGTCCCTACACACTGGGAATGATACAAATATATGACCTGAAATCACGAAATATTCGTGATATATATATTAGACACTAGTGTTGAGATGTCTGTCTGTCATGATAGCATGTACTGAGTCGGGGCCAGTACCAGATAAGAACATTAAACTATAATCCATAAACGTAAGGTAACAACCGAGACCTAATGGTGCTGTGACAGCAACACGATTGAGTTTGAGACAGTGAAAATACATATGGTATGTTGTATCTGAACAGGTTAGCTTACGAGCTAAAGTTACTTAGCACAGATGAAAGTTAAAACAAAGACGTTTAGCAAACTGTTAAAGCACACAAACCATCGTCATGTGAGAAATCCGACACTATGACTCTCCATAAGTTGTCCTTCAGGTCTTTATGTTTGTAATATTTGTGTCTTTTATCAAAAAGCACTCTGTACTCCGACACGTAAACAATTAGCCGGTCGGCCATGTTGGATATACCGGTGAATCTGACGTTGTAACACAAAAACACACAGTATGCAAAACTTTAGAAAATTCGACCGTGATACAAAAAAAATAAATGCCGCAATATCGCAGGACGGGAAAACATCGCAGATGTGAACGCTTGTATTGGTAGGATATGGGTTTGAAAAAAAATATTGATGTCCAAAATAATCATACGAAAAAAACGCTCCAGGTGTAAAAGGACCTTTAGGGTCAAGAGATTCAGAAGTGTGATAATGTTCTGTAATGTTCTATTCGACGTACAGAGTCGACAGCCTGCGTTTGGCTTAAGCGTGTGATGACGTTTCCAGCTTTTCTAGCCAATCAGAGGCAAGGAAGGCGGGACTTTCCCCTACCATCCTCCAAAAAAAAAAAATCAGCCCGGTAATAACCTCCCGTAAAAACTGTTGTTCAGAACTGCACCCAACATGCTTACTTATGCTTCCTACCTACTCGGCTACTGTAATAACCGTTGTTTTAATTTACACGCAACATTTTTGTTCTCATTCATGAAACCCTTAGATTGAGGAAATTTCTGGGGACAGCTTTAGCTGGGGACAGGTCGACCAATATGGGAACTGTCCCCGGAAATCGGGGACGTCTGGTCACCTTATTGTTGACTGAATAATACTTAAATATGTCGGAGCTTTTCAATGACATGCAAATATGCGGTAACCAAGACTTCAGGACTTTGATTTATTTGGATTACTAAGTACAAGTTTGATTAAGCCGGTGAGAAGCAAAGAGAACCGACAAACTTATAAAACTACTTTTACAACGTACATTTTGGTTTGGGTGATCATACGTCCTCTTTTACCCGGACATGTCCTCTTTTTTGGGGGCTGTATGGCTTTGTCCGGGGAAGTTTATAAAATCCTTCAAATGTCTGCGGTTTTGAACACAGGTTTTCGTGCAACTCCATGACTCCCCCTCTGCGTAGTTGTGTCCTCTTTCTGGAAGGTCAGAATATGGTCACCTTAATTCTGGTTATTAAACACATTTATAGAGATGCCGTTACTTATAGTATGGAAAAAAAGGCCAACTTTTGGAGAACTTTCTACTTTTCTTCTTTACTTTTCACGGCATTGTCTCTGATGCACTGTATGAACAACTAAAACAGTACTGTCTCTTCATCCGTGTAACCTTGGCATTGCAGTTCGCCAAATGCCGTCCTTTTTAAAACAGTTTTCATACCAAAAACTTCCATTTATGCTAATGAAAGCTAGAGACAGTAAGGAAGTCAGGTTGCGGTTGCTGTTTTTACCTTACAGATATCAAATGTTGTCAAACTGTTCTCCGGAATAACCACAACTTCCTTTTTCCTCACCGAGAGCAAGTTTGACTTGTATATATCTGGTATAATGATGCTGTTTCTGTGCTGAATCATAAAAACAGTGGAATCCAACAACCTGAACCGACAGCTGCATCAGTAAACCTGTGTTTTTTAGTCCTCTGACAAATAACAGCAATCTGAGAGTCATTAAAAACTGTCGAACATCATTCTCACTTTTTTTTTTTTTTTTAACGTGCCCCTGAGCCTGGCACTTGATCCCCTTTCGCTATGATTGCTGAGGACTCCGGTTATAATGAGCAGCTCACATGTGATGCTGCAACTAAGCATTACAAGACGGGCAGGTTGCTTTCCTGACAAAAGCGAGCCTTGCTCTGTGGTGCGGATTTGGCAGTTTAGACAGCTGTGGTATTTGTTTGATACGGTTTTTATGTTCGTCAAAACCAGTGAATGACCACATACAACCCACGGATGACAGCGCTGTCATCTCACACGAAAAACACTCATATCTGAGCGAGCTAAAAAAGCATCATACGGAGTGAAGGCAATCATTACGAAGTCATTCTTCACCGGGGATTGAGTGGACAAAAGGAAGAGTTTTCATAAATCATTCCTCCATGATAGCGAAGCTTGTCCTCTAGTTTGGCGGTTACAGTATATACGATTCAGCGCCATAATAGATAAGCCACAAAGGTTCCTGGATGTCTTTGAAAGAAGTGGGATACAGCGCTGAAATGAAAGCAGTCCCTGGACAGGTAATGGCTGAAGAAGAAATAAAAGACTTCGAAATGGATGATTCATTTTGTTACATCCTACAGAAAAAAAAAATTCCAAATGTCTCAGAGTGCCGCTGTTATCTACTTTGTGTCCTCAAGGCTTTCCACACTGTGATTAAGAAGCCTCTTAAATCTTTTCTCCAACTTTGTACAAATGTTTTCACCAAAGTTAAATATTGCTTTGAATTCGTCCCAAAATGGGGTCATCCTGGGTGCCTAGCACTTGGATAGAAAAAGAGAAATCTCTGCATTTGATTATAACTTCCTCGGAGATAATGAAAAAAGTCTGGGGAGCTTTTTTGTTTATGAGAGTATTTCATCTATCAAAAACAGATAAATGATGCTAAATGAAGCCAGATGTTGACCACCAAAGTTCATGAGGATGGGAAGTGATTTAATGGCTCATTCTCTGCCTCTCTTAGAATTCTCTGCACAGTTCAGGGTCTCCTCATGATAACCCAGTTCCTTCCAATGCCTGACTACAGATAGGCTAGTTTAGCACCTATTAGAAAAGAGGCTCCAAACCCTTTAATTATCTGCAATAATGGGACCATTCTCGTTGTGTTAGCTAACCATGCTATGGGGACTAATAAAGGCTTTCTCATCTTTTAAAGGGATATTCTGGCGTAAAATTAATTTAGGGTCAAACACACCATAACACCGAGTAAGACACCCCCCCTGAGAGATGAATGTTGCCGACCGCTTGCTTCTCTAGTTTTACCAACTTTAGTAACGACCGCACGATAGCAATACACAGCGGTCTGAGGAGCCATAAACAAACCTCAACCAAAACACCACTCTATAGCCACAAATAATACTCAGAACAGCACCTAACTTCATCAACAGTACATATAGGGTCCTAGCCACAGCACTAGCCACCAAACATCTCTTTAGCTTTGCCTGATTTCTTTAGCAAAGAGACTAAACACAACTTACCCATTGTCCTCCAGCAGCTGCTTGTTTGTAGCGAGACCTCAGGCCAGTCCATTACGGACTGCAGCGGAGTTTCGCAGCTCAAGGAAGAACATTTATGATCATTACTTTATTCCCTTTAAGTCATAATCACCATATTAATCATTTTGCACTGCAGACGCAGTAGTTCTTCTGCTTTAGCGTCTCGGTTTTGATTGCATTTTCATGAAGGAACGATCATTTTCCCCTGTGTTGATTTTCACTACAGAGTTATGATTTTACCATCTTGTCCCTTTGAAGGTTTTTTTTTTTTTAATAATCTTTCAAATTTTATTGATTCCATGAATGTCTTTGCAAAATGCTTGGCATTTTTTTATGCTTAGGAACATAATTCTGAAGATGTTGAATTCAAGCAGGCTCTCACAAAGTGGTGAACCTTACTTCTGAGAGACCGGGTCACTCTGGAACAGTGTTTTCTATAAAACAAAATTGTCAAACTTGTTGCTTATTGTCTTATTTGCTTTTGGATGTCACAAAAAAGTATGTTGCAAAAAACTTAAGCAAAAAAAAAAAAGTAAAAAAGTATATTATTATAGCACTTTTAGGAGGAGACGTTTTTGTCCATCTAAGGACCTAAACGTAAGTTTTTTTTCAAGGACCCAGGAGGGTTAATATGACTGGACAATACCATACCTATGGAATTGGGAATGGGGTTTAAACATAGTTTTAATGCAAAAAAAAAAAAAAAAAAAAGGTTTGAATCCAGCTCAGGGCATTTCTGTGTGGAGTTTGCATGTTCTCCCTGTGTCTGCGTGGGTTTACCCTGGGTACTCCGGTTTCCTCCCACATCCCAAAAACATGCAGAAGTTGGGTTCGGTTAATTGTCCACCTTCAAATTGTCCGTAGGTGTGAATGTGAGTGTGGATGGTTGTTCGTCTCTATATGTCAGCCCTGCAATGGACTGGCGACTTGTCCAGGGTGTCCCCTGCCTTCGCCCGAAGATGCTGGGATAGGCTCCAGCCCCCCCGCGACCCCGGGAACGGGAATAAGCGGTAGAAAATGGATGGATGGAAAAAAATGAACATAGTGAAAAATGTGATCAAATAGGAGCAGTAGACAGAAGTTTTAGCAAAGCAGAATTACAGACAAGCTTGAAATTACAGCAACAGAGAAACTAACATGATGGAAAAAACATAAAGAGGAAGACTAGAAGAGTCGATAGTAGAGCTAAATGAGAACCAGAGCGGAACTAAGGCTGTGAGCTTTGTTAGAAAACTGCAAGAAACCACATCTGGTGCGAATACAAAGGTGCGTAAACGGAGATTAAAACGGCTGCTAAAGTGTTGATTCTGGGAAAACTCCAGGCAAATAGTGTAACATGTGATCACGCTGATTGATTATTGGCGCTTTACTGCTGATCTGTCTGCAGTCTATTTGGCCTAAATCCACTCTTAATCACAATAAAATTGTCTTTCACAGCTGGTCTCGCTCAAAGAGTGAGGACCTCCAATATGGCTGCCAGGGGCTTTGTTATATCACTTCACCGTCTGTATGAGCAGTCTCCAGCGCTTAAATTGTTTTCTCTCTGGCCTCCTAATGAGGCACATATGGGATACGAAGTCAATACAATTAGCTGCAATTAACTAGCAGGCACTTTACACTGATACTGAGCTTGAATTCAACAGCTAAGACAAACTAAAATGACCCGGAATGCCCTAAATGGAAGCGACTGCTCCTCCACAAGCAATTTCCAAGACTCTAACTACTCACTTGGAGTAGGGAGAAGGCTAGAGACATTTACACTGAGAGTCTCGGCCCTTTTTTTGAGGAGTTGTAGAGGCCATTGTGAAGCAGAGTGAGTCCTCATTGGTCCTTATTAGTTCCACTAGAGAGCTCAGGAGCAGGGGCTGGTGTCGGATTTACTAAAAAAAAAAAAGAAAAAGAAAAGGGGGAAGCCTCACTTGGAAGGATTTCAGGCCATTAGATAAAACTTACAAGATGTGGCTACAAAACATGGAAAATGAAGATGATGGTTGTATTCAGTGTTGGGAGAAACTTTTATTCTCATTTTAAATGGATTTTTTTTCTTTCCCCGGGATGATTTCACCTGTTCAGAACCCAATTATGATTGGAAAACACAGAAATCTATGGTAATGGCGTTTGCAGGGTTTCTGTGGGTAATGGACTGCTTCATCATCAGCGGACTAAAAAGGAAGTATAATGAGACACGTAATAACATGTTTTTCAAATCTAAAAGTGAGGACCTTTAGTATCTGAAAATAAACACTGTTAGGGACCTTTGTAACTGAAAAAGATTATCTCTATTTGTAATGGTAAATTAATTTTTCATTACCTTTACAGTGATGCTTTCAAAGTGAGCAAATCAAACGGTGACATTCAAGTCCATCTGCCAGTCCTATAACCGTTCTTAATTAGAGATTAAAGCCCCTTTGAGGAACTTTTTACAAGGTTATCAAGTAGACTAGAATTAAAATTGATACGTCTGCACAAACAAGACCATCACATGCACAAAGCGTCCTCATAATTCTGTCACATTGTTGGGCAAGTTACGGAAAGTAGGGCTGTCACGATATCAGATTTAATGATATTATTGCAATATTTATGGTACCAACACTTTTTTGGGAAGACAAATGTTTGTTTTGCATTTAGTTGATTTAATCGAGCTTTGGTTTCAGATGCTTTATTTCTACGATTGATCCTAAGTTAAAGGCCTGAATGAAAACAGTAGAAATAAAAAACAGTACCCTTGACAAGTAACCCAGAGGGGCAGTAGCTTTGTTGTTTTTGGATTCAAATAATCAATGTCAATCAATAATCAATGTCTCTGTTTTCCTCCCCAACCCAGCAGTGGCCTGGTGGCTGTCTAGCATGAGTCTGGTTCTACCCAAGGTTTCTGCCTGTTAAGAGGAAGCTTTTCCTTGCAACTGCTACTCATGTTAGATGAGATGGGCCAAATCCCATCTTAGGTTGGGTCTTGATAATTCATCAACCAATGAGCTTGGTCTAGACCTGCTCTTGTTCTTTGGAAAGCGTCTTGGGATGACGACTGTTGTGAATTGATGCTATATAAATACAATTTTATTGATTGATTTGATTGATGTTTAATATTAGTCCTGAATCGTCTCGAAGGGCCACAGGTAGCTCGCCACCAGCTGGTTGACGTAACAATTCCGAGATGGCGCCTCCCATCACTGGACCTCTTTTTCTCTGAAAACCAATGAGTTGGTGTGAGGGACTTCGCGGAAAGATGGCAGAGGTTCAGTCAAGACTATTTGCGCCAATGAAAATTATCATTTGAATACTTCAACAACAATACAACAATACTTCTAACAATAGCAAGATCAATTTCCAAATAGAGGCACAGAAGGTAAATAAGCTGGACCAACTGATGTACCGCAGGCGGATTTTGGCCTGCCTGAACTATCTCTATCCCCAATTCAATGCAGTTTAGTGGAGTCTATAATAAAAACACCTCAGGCACATTGGTGTTGTTGTGTCTGTGGGAATAGTCAGGGGATCCTACAATGAAAGTTGGGCTTCTGCCTATTCAAATTAAAACCTGAGCTTACATAAGAGTCTTTGTCTAAACAGGAGCATGAGTCTGAATTAGCAGGGCTACTTTTGGGAATATTATGTAAAAAAATATATTATATCACAAGGAGATCCCAAAACTGAAGAAGCTGAGCACAAAGCTTTCACAAACCAGCAGAGACAGAGTGAATATGAATCAGACGGTGAATACCTGGAGGTCTTTTTTGTGTGTTGAGATCAGTTTGCATCAAAAGCTCAAAAGGTCATCGCCAGCTCAGCAACGGCAGGATTCTTCTGCCGTGAAATGTGAATAAAACATCAATAAAAACACTGTTTAATTGAAAAAGTGATATCATAGATTTAAAATGCTTTCAGCAATATTAGAAAAAGACGAGGCGTACACGAGTCAAGGTTGTAGTTCTTTTTAAATAAAAGCCTTTTAAGTAAACTCTTTGGTTATGTCATGCTACTCAGTGGGGATTAAGCAAACGCAGTTGACTCCACTCATTGTTTTGTCATTTATAGTCTCCCTATGTTAAAGCATATCCTCTCCGTTACAAGGCTGCATCTCCACCACAACAAGCTATTAAGATCTGTTAAAAGTAATGAATGTTGTCATTGTAGTTAATGGCATAAAAGCGCACATAGATATGATCTTTAAAATAGCATTAAGTGTCATTTTGTATCCCATCATACTGTTAGCTGGTGCAGCTTTTCCATTAAAGGGAAACACAAATCACTTTTTATTCAGAAGTGCACTCCATTTCCCTCCAGTGAGTTTTTCTTTCACTATGAAAAGGATAAGCTGTAGTGCCTTGCGCATGGACACATTATAGAAAATTCTATAGAGTGGAAATTATCAAAATACTTGAAAAAAACAATTTAAAATGCAGTTAGAGGATTCAAAGTGTTTTTCGCCCAAACAGACTGAAGTGACCTCAGTCTTTTAATGAAATACCTTTCAGTAGAGTTTCCGTGGTATGACTCTGAAAGCCCTTTGACAGTAAATTCCACCTCAAACTTTACAAGTCAACACTAAAGTTTGACTAACAGAATGTCAAGGTTTTACTATTGTGCTCCAGTTTAGAGAGGCTTCACTTGCAAATGTCAACCATGACAAAAACAAGATCCTGAATAGAGAGAGACCAATGGCTTTACAAATCTAAAACTGCAATCAGACGGCCAGTGTAAGCAGATGTTGAAGTGAGAAAGTGCATAAACCCCCCAAACACAACGTAGATAGCTTGAGTTATACTGTAATGTCTCTTGGGGATGTTTTTTAGGGTTGTAAAGTGAATTAAATGGAAATTTCAACTTACAAACGTGTCCCAAGCTTTGTAAACCTCAACTCCTTACCAAATATGGCCTGGCCAGACTGGATCTCCCATCTTTAATCCACTGAAACATGCCTGGCTAGTTTAGTCCTTATATAAGAGAGTTGGAAGCTTCAATGTTCTCTCTAGACTTGTGTTTGCACAGCTATTTCTACCACTTCTCCCTGTGTACAAACAATATAAATGCCTTCCAGGGATGACTGTCTAAAATGTGCACCGAGCACATATTGAAATGATCTGATCACATCTGGCCTCTGCCTATGACGGACAGCTTTTCACTCTGCCTCAGAGTGCAGCTGCTCGAGAACAGCTGGTCCCTCAAGCCTCTCAAAAAAAAGGTCAAACCGCACTTCGCTCGAACTGGTTCTTTGTCTCTTTTCTACACTCACGTCGAAACAAATACTGTAAATGTGAAAGTGAATGATTTCAGCAACTGCTTGACTTTTTTACAGTTTACATTACAGCGTGTCAGCACTTTGAGACAACATAACAAGGAACAATGACAGGTTAGATGGAGGATAGATGTGAGTGCAGAGTTAGGATTTGCATTAAAGTGATTTTTCTTTAAGAGGAGGGGGAAAGCTACAGAGGGCAAGAGTGGAAGATTTATCAGCACTAGAAAAAAGCCAATTTGGATGTTTTAACTAAAACCAAGTGGTGACCTCCAGTAATGAAAAGTGAAGCCCTCGAGGATCCACTTGAGACTGGCTCCAAAAGCCACTGGAGCGCCATTAGAGACCATGATCTGATGTCCATTTTTACAGCAGAATTTGACACGTTTAAAACCAGATTGACTCATTGGTTTCGTGACAAAGCTTTACTGGGGATTGAGACGTTCCAGAGCTGGGAATGACGTTACACCCGAGTTGACGGCGATCCAGTAAACAAGTCCGAAGACCAAGATGGATGCCTACAGTTACTCGTTGTTAGCTGTTGTTGGTTGTTGTCAGTCGTTGTTAGTGGTACCAATTGTACACAATGCACAACTTAGTATTTTATGCGACAACACCATAGCACCGAGTTCACAGTTAGACGCTGGGCGGCACAACAAATACCACTTATTTAATTTCACAAAAACAAAACAGAAGTGCTAATAAATAATACGTTGCGATAGCTTTAACGGTTACTCTTCACTGTTGATGCACTGCGTTGACATCTTGAATTATGACGTTGTCTGAGTACAACTAGAACACAGCATAAGTCCATTTGGAATCAGATATATTCCTACGTGGCTTAACTGACAAACAACTGGCTAATTCCAGATTAGTCTGGAATAGACCAGATTCCTATGGTGGCTATCTTTTTGTGACGCCATACTCGCGGTGGGGAGCTTTCAGATTTGTATCATGAAGTATTACAGTGTTCCTGGTCTTAACAGTGGTCATTTCCCCACCACAAAAACTATAGTTCGATCTATGTATAGATTTTCACATGAATCCTTCAAAGTGGCCAGAACCAGCAAAAGGAAGCTATCCATCTCTGTGTTGATTGCATGTTGTGAAATACTGGCGAAAATGAGGGACTATGGAGGATGGAAGTCAGCAGGAGCGACTGCTTTACCGGGTTGAGACAGCTGATGTGGATTCCTCATGGTAGCTCCTAACGAGAGCCCCCGCAGGCTGGAAGCCCCCGGCAATGCTTCAAGGTGACTCAATTTATCCTAAAGTGCTATACATAAGGACCACCTTGAGGATGTTAATGATAGAAAAAGAGCGAGAACTCTAATGTTTCATACATGGAGATCTCCATATTTTAAAAGAACAGGCTGAGGATGTGGTGTTGATTCTGTATGAATGTTTCAAAACCCCCACTGTGGAGGCGGTGGGAGTCCACGAGGTGAGAAGGCAAAATCACGGCTCAAGTTCTGCTTTCTGAATCCCTGAACAATCTGGGAAAACTTGGGCATGGAAAATGAATGAGACATGCTCACTCTGGCTTGAAGTTAACATCTGGGATGGGTGCCTGGTTGCCTGAAATAATTTGTAAAATGAACATGATGTCTTGAAATGATGCTGGTACATGCTTTACCGAGAAATCAAGATACAAAAACATGTTTCTGGTGTAAAAAGTTTATGAGGGACATGGAGGAAGCAAAATCAAGAACAAAAAGAAGAGCTTGGCATGTCTATTTTGCCTCTGAGGTAGTCCGAGTCAAGAACTTTGAGCAAGTGATGTTATTTAGTTTCCTGGATTTGTTCTAGCGTTTTGGTTCTGCCAAATTCTTCCATTTGGCAAAGTCCACAACATGCAAATCCTGTACCTCTGTAGCTCTCTCGAGCAGACTAATATGAACAAATGCAGAGGTGGAATAACACTGAAATGGACTTGGCGAGTGCTCCAGAAGGGCACACTGTCACTTTTTATTACATTGTATATACTGGAAGGGCATCCAGGTGGCACTGTTAGAACTTTTGATCGACTGGGAGAGCTTTTGGAGGTCACTTTTTATTATTGCACTTGAAGGGCATTTAGAGGGCAGCTTCTATCCTAAAAGATGGCATCCAGGCAGCACTTTATTTAGATTTTATCCACAGGAAGAGTATGCAGAGGGCATTTTTTTGTGTTTCATACACCGGAGGGGCATCTAGATGTTAATATTTCTACTTTTTATCCACTGAGAGGGCATCCAGTAGGCAGATAGTATTTACTGGAAAAGTACTTTATATGCTTGATTAAATCAAAGGGCATCCAGAGGTTACTACGACTACTTTATGTGACATCCAAAGGGCATTTGCATTGGTTGTCTGGCTTTAACCTCTGACATCTTGGTTGCAACACTAAAGCAAGTGGCTTCGAAGATAGTGGTATAGATAGAAAGTTGGAGTGGGTGTGGTTTTGTATGCTTGCCCATGCAAATCTCTCCTGTCATTACACAACTAAATTATCTCATTTGAATAACTAAGGTTAAGGATTTACGGTTCAACACCCAGAGAGCTGCTGTGCCAAATAATGGGTGCAGCGTATTTGTGGTAAAGGGAAGAAAAATGTCTTTTTTTAATTATTGTATGACACCTTTACATGCATGATTATGACCTAATGAGGGGAAACAGCAGAGTACCATTTGTCTGGTCCCCATTACACTGTCTGTGGGTGCCTTGTGCAGCAAAACGCCAACTAGAAATGAATGGGGTGAATTTTCAGTGGGGTCCAGGTTGCACAATAGATGATGGTGGCAGTTGCACCCCCACTCAGGACAAATTGTGTCTGTGATGAAGCTTTGGCCAGATTTTATCACTAACTTCTGGGTAAAATATGGATGCACTTCCTACCTTTATGTCCCATTCCGACTCTAATACCCGTTCTAAAATATCTGCTGATGTTGAGTATCCCTCAGCGCTGGCAGAGTTTAAAGGATTATATTCCATTAGTATGTATCACCTATTGGTTTCAAATATGGCTGTTAAAGGTTAACTTTGTCCCTCTGTTACCTTGAATTAATCTCGGTGACCATAGATTGAAGTGGTAAAAGAAAAACAAAAAGTAATTCATTGCTATGAATCAATTTAATTAACCTTGTGGCCGAGACATGAATAAAAACCCACATGTTCTTGAAAATGATAGATTATGTCTGTCAGTGCAGTGACTTATCTTGGGAGGTTGTTTTTAATGGATGTTGGAAAACAATACAAAGCTTATGACCTTTAGGAGGCAAACCTTTTGTTGTTCTCGGCAATATGGGAACTATACTGCAGGCTGTACTTTTTTATGTGTTGTATTATTCAATGAGGGGGAAACAGTGGTATCATCACATTTAGAGGAGTGTCTGCGGTAACCTGAAGTCAACCCCAATCCTAACTGAGGTTGTTTTTCTGGCTGACTCACCTTAACGCCGGTGTGCATCCAATTTAAGAAACTGTATTGTCTTAATATCTGTTTGTTTATAGTTTGTAGAACTTTCTGTCTGTGCTGATATTTTCTCTGATAATACCAAACTGCGCAGGGATCATAATTGGTTTGATATGACTATTAACCTACAGTCTAGACTCCTAATCCATAAATATATTCAATCCAATCAATCAGGATACCCTTTTGGGGTTGGTTTTGTTTTGAGGTATTATACAGGAAATGTCTGGTTATACTTCCTAAATAAAGGACATTTGTTTAGAATTGAAAAAGGTTTAAATAACCTCTACAATACCTTCATACAAATCTTTGATTAAACTTTGAATTACAACTAGAAAAGCACTCGGAGAGCGCAGACCTCCGCCAAGCAGCTCATGTCCCCCCTTATATTGTGATTCACACCAAAACTTTTACTGTTACGTGTCTTTTATTAACTTTTATTTGTGTTTAAACTGGTATGTTCACTGTTCATAAAACAAGAAACGCCCTGACCCGGATTCGAACCCAGGACCTTCTTGCTGTGAGGTGACAGTGCTAACCACTACACCACTGTGCCACCCATTGGTTATCTTTCAGCATTGAAAATTCCAACGACACCCTTATTTTTGTGTGTTCTAGATCACAGTATCCGGAGTTTTGTCTGGATCAGGATCAACCTTTGACACCTCATAAAACTTCCTTTTGTGTATTTTTTAACTAAAGACTCTGGACATTTTTATAGAGTTAAATGCACAATGATAAAGAATCCTTTAAAAAATTCCTGGATCCAGAAGGCGATCCGGATCACCACCAGATGCACCTCTGGTGAAAATTTCAGGTCAATCCGTCTGTAACTTTCTCCGTAAAGTTGGTAACAGACAAACAGACAAACAAACAAACCAACGCTACAGAAAACATAACCTCCTTGGCGGAGGTAATAATACTGGAGGACAAACATGGCTGTGGTTTGATCAAACTACTCAGCACTTCTCTTGTGTAACTATGCTACTATATCTGCAATGGATAACTTGGGTCAAGATAAAATTATATGATATAGCAAACTCAAGATAAACACAAGATTATCGTGTGTTTAAGCAAGATAACTTATTGTCAGGGCAATATTTTGTGCTCATAATGTCATTTCCTTATGCCACTTGTAAATATAGTTTGCACACAACATGAAAATCGCGTTGTATTTGCAGTGTGTTTCATATTTATTAGTTGTAGCATTGCACACAATGCCACGTGCATTCATTTGTTTTGTTGCATTTGTTTTGGGATTTTAAATGCGCTCAGAAAGTTGCATTGCCTCTGTTCTTGCAGATTGGGAAGCTAATTTGGCCACCCCCTTTGTTACCTGATGGGGAAAACAAGCATGCTTTTATGTTTTTACTGGTTTTTGCGCTGCAGATTATACGGCGCACTGTGAATTGCCGTGTCTGTGTTTACACATAAGGCGCACCGGATTGTAAGGTGCATTAAGCATTGATTGGTTTATTGTTGCTAGTGCGTACTTCAGGCCCCGGCTGCCTTACATGAATGCACTTTTCGTTTAGACATGACAGTCAGGCAGTGTTGTAGACTGCTCAGGGGTCCTGTTACGGGGCCGATCAGGTAGTGACCGTATCCATTGAGCAAAGTGGCTTCATGCTTTTAAAAGTCGTACATGTATGTCGTGTATGTATACACATTTCGACAGATTTTTTAGCACACTGTACCACATAAAATCAGTCAGTAAGCACAACATGTCATCATACGTAAGGCGCGCTGGATTATAAAGGCACACTGCCAATTTTTGAGGAAATCTAAGGATTTTAAGTGCGCCTTATAGTCCGAAAAATACAGTACATTTCATACATCTGAGTTATCTTCCAAAACAAGTCAGAAATGACCGAGGAACTAAATCTTCTGGATGGTATTAATTGGACCCATCAGACAACCATGGTAGCTACAGCCTCATATTTCGAAGCTCCAGGACTCTGCCGAGCTGCCTTATTTGAAAATTTGAAAAAGAAGACCAGTCCAGCTTTTACTCGCCCGAATGAAGTGACTTACAGTCATTAAAAGTCATGCTGTAAGCACCATGTGTCATTATCTACCCCCCACGCTGCCTTTCGTCATGCACATTGTAATGCTTGAACACATCACAGGGAACGTACTGTATGTGCGTGTGTGGTAAAGAGCGAGCCCAGGAATGTTATATATAAAATAGCAATGAATAGACAGCTGGCTGACAGTTCCCCACATCAAGGCTCAGGCATGAAACTGCAGCTCCAAATGAGCTATCGCTGCCTGGTGGCCCTGCCATGTTCGGCAAGAAGAGGGAGAGAAAAAAAAAGCTGTGTTTCATATGAGTGCTGACAGCTCCCCAGATAGACCAAGGTTAAAGCGGTGTTAAAGGGACTTTTTGGGAGGGGTTTCTAAATCTTTGATCAGGATGAAATAGCATTTTAAGGTAGCCAGAACCTTGGGAGTAATTGCCGATTGAAAAATTGATTATTTGAAACATTGAAGTCGTAGTGCTATTACTGTACGACTGAGGATTGAGAGTGGCTAATGTCTCTCCTGGGCCTTAAATACCACAGATGTGCTCTAAAGCACTTCACTGCCTCACTGAAGGACACAATTCATCTCTGAATGGAAAAGAGCAGATGATTTGATCCTTAAAGATATTATGCGGTAAAAGCAAAGCATGATTTTCCTGGACTTTCCCAGCATTGGGGTTTAATTATAGACCAGAACCAGCCCTCAGGTTGATTTGTCAGCCCATCATAAAGGTTAACAATAACTCCTGACTCAAGGTTTTTTTGGTCTTGTAGGTTCAAATGCTTCAGGCAAGGTCACATAAAACTTATCATATAACCCGATTCACAGAGAGGAGATTTAGAAAATTTCAAACAGTTTCCAAGAATTTGAAGATTTCACTCAGATGGAAGGTTTATCGAATCCTCTATCGCAGATTTTCCTAATAAACAGGAACTGATTGCTTTCAAAGGCACTTTCTTATTGCTCTTGCCCCCCAGAAAAGTGGAAAGAACTGACTGTTCAGGCTACAGTGCATTACAAACATGCATGAATCTGTGGTGGAAATTACCACATGGGTACATAATCACTTGCAAAACTATTTTCTATGGACACAGTTTATCATTAAATCCATAAATGCAGGTTCGTCTGGATCTTCTACAATCTTGAGTTTGATCAGGATTAAAGTGCACAGTGAAGCACAACATCGAGACCTTTCACCACTCACCATAGGTGAACAAGACATAGAGTACGTTCAGAACTTCACATACCCCAGAAGCAACATCTCAAATACTGGAGACGTGGAGAAAGATGTACAGACCAGAATTGGCAAAACTGCAGGAGTCTTCCAAAGACTCTGGAACATCTGGTCATCGAAATCCATCACCACGGCCACAAAGCTATGCCTCTATATGCCAGTGGTCATCCCTACAGCGACCTACGCCTGTGAGATGTGGACGGAGACAGACAGCATCACCAACAAGTTGGATGTCCTCCAACCACGGTGCCTCGGATCCATCCTAAAGATATCATGGAGAGACCACATCACCAGTGAGGAGGTGATGAGAAGGTCAGGTGTAGCACCCTTGTCTGACATCGTCGCTGATAGGAGAAAGAGAATGAATGGACATGTACTCTGACTGCCAAGAGAGAGACCGGCATGTGCCAAGGAAACAGCCAAGGAAGACCTGAGCAAGATGGGAGTCAGCTGGCATGGAGCAAGAAGGGTCGCTAGGGACTGGAGCAAATGGAGGGGACTCATTGTCCAATGTTCGAATAGGAACGGGAGGAACTAAGTCTAAGTAAGTGAGTAAGAAGCCCTGTGCAGCAGAGACTTGAAGATTTTCATGGTTCGATCCCAAAATCAGATAGCAAACTGCACAGAGCTGCAACACTCCAGAGAGCTTGGGATCTGGCCCTCAGGTGTAGCAAAGGATTTTTTTTTTGTAAACGTTGCTTGAGTGAAACAGGTCTTTGAGTAAGGGTTTATTCTGAATTTTTACCTATGAATTTACCAGTCTAAACTAGGGACTGGATAAACACCTAAGCACATGAGTCATTCAAGCTCTTCTTCAGTGACGTCGCCGCCAATTACACATTTCAAAAGCCTCGACAGGAAATCAATGGTTTGCAGAGTGAAGTATGGCTAACAACAGGTTCCTCCTAATTGAAAGAGGCACAGCTGTGCAATGCTACACCGAGGGCTCCTGCCGCACACTCACACCCCAATTTGCTTGGGATTGTTACCGCTGTGGATAATCAGCCTTTAGATGAGCTGTTTCAGCAGAGCTTATGCATTTGAATATGGTAATGAAGTCACCAGAGGGGGGCTGTAATAAGAGCAGTAATCGATAAGGCAATTTAAGCTAAACAGTGGAGTTAATCTTTTGTTACACGTTTGACACAGGTAATGAGTCACTGCTATTGAGGAGAAGGGTGTAATAGATGGCTTTACCAAACATTTCAAATGAGAAACTAATTAGCCACTGGCTGTTTCTCTTTTTGTTGCAGAATAATTGCTGTGCAGAGGAGTGTAATCAGGAAGCACATGCTTATATTTGCTCGGAAAGGGCAATGTGTGCTATTTAAGGAGTGTATTGCATGTCAGTGTCACAGAGAACAAACAAATGAAGGATGATAAAGGGCTATAGTACAATAGACTTATAAGAATGGGGCAAATTTACAGTATACCACTCATACAGTATGTTTCCTGAGAGGGGTGGTAGGATCATTGTTATTGATAGAGATCGGGTTCCTGCATGTACCACCAACTGTAAGATGCAGGTCGTCTTGGCTCTACTCAGTTTCTCAAAGCCAAGATCCAGTCTGGGATCCACGCCAAAGACGTCCAGGGTATGTTCACCTTAATCTGATTGGCATAGGTCCAGCTGTTGAAGTGTGGAGGTCTAGGGTCTCTATGCCAATATGTCTAAAAGACACTGGGTTGCAAGTCTGTGCCTGCAGAATGTAACTCATGTTGGGTTGCATGTCGTATTCACTGTAATGTTGTAATAATATATGGTATCTGACTTGGAGCAGAAAGCAAACTTATGTAATGAAATTGTGAAGATCTGTGCATATAGCCCACTGCTTTTGTGAGTACGGTACATCCTCTGGGCACACATCTCAACAAGGAGATTTTGACTAACTTGGGGGACATATTGAAAACTAGCCAACTAATCTGTGGGTATATCTGATAGTTTCCCCAAGCGCCATCTCTATCTCCATTCCAGATGATCGCTCTCGTGGTTTACTTTAATAGCACTTAGCTTCTCTTAGCTTCACTTTCTAACAAAAGTCTCCCCGGTCTCCTGCTTCTCCTGCTCGCTTCTGCTCGGTGTGTCAAATGTTAAGTTACTCCTCATCCTCCTTAGACAATAACGATACCTGCTTCAAGTGTAGTTTATTCTTAACTCTGTAGGCGAGGATTACTGAGCTGCAAAAGCGGTAGCGGTAGCTAGCAAGGACCCGGTAGCCAGTGCAGGTCGACCTAGCTTAGCTTCCCCCCCGGCAGATCCCGAGCAGCCAGGATGTAGTAGTGGTTGGGTTCCTGTAAAAGGGAAGCATGGCAGCAGGCCTAAGAAGCCCATGTTTGACCACCATATTCACATTTCGAACAAATTTGCCCCTCTCAGCAACACACCTGCTGAGCCCGATGCTCTTGTTATTGGAGACTCTCTCTGACACACGCTCAAGCCAAACGCGGGCTGTTGGCTCTGCACATCAAACAGAACATTATCGCACTTCTGAATCTCCTAACCCAAACCCTAATCCTAATCCTAACTTGACAGACGATGACGTTTCATAGTCATAAGGAATAACCAATCAGAGCTCAACACTTATAGCCAATCAGAGGCGAAGGAGGGCGGGACCTTCCATTACCATCCCACAAAAGAAAATTTGCTTCCAGGGGCCAGAGCTGGCGACATTTAAGGTAGTTTGAAACTGCTGGCAAAGTCTAAATGTAAATTGACTTCCCGGCGTACTCTCGGCGCCGGGCAGTCATTAACGCCGACCTATTGTGAATCTATCATTCAAACTGGAACTTTGCATCTACCCTCTGGGCACCATACATGTCTCTTTTGAGTTTTTTTTTTTCATCCCTCCACTTGAATTGCTGATATTTGAAAGAAATTGGTAAACATAATGCCAAATTAGCCAACTATTCAAATTCAAGGAGTTAGGATTCATCTTCTGGGCGACATGAATGTCTGAAGGGAACTTTGTGTATCCAATCCATGAGACCTTGTGATATTTGACTAAATAAATACTGATATGGAGGGATCACCAACTACTTTGTGATCAGTATACATCCTATGGGCACCATGAATGTCTCTTTATTTGCGTCTCTCGACTAAAAATGTTGTCAAGTCATCCTATGGGCACCAAGAATATCTTCCACAAGACATTGTTATGACAACTTATTACTTTTTGGGTGTATCCTCTTAGCACCATGAATTACTCTGTTGTGATATTCAGCTAGATTGGTTGAGATTTTGTCAGTTTAGACGAGTACTTTGTTGACTTCTTTACTGGGCTCTTCCTCAGGGGACTGTCATGAGGCAGAGTTGAACAATAAAAAAAGAAGCCAAAGATCATTATGAATAGACTGACATGCACACACTTAGACACACAATGAACCAACAAGGACAGAGGGGAAGACAGGGACTATATACACACTGGTTAACGAGCAACAGGTGAGGCAAACGAGACACAGGTGAGGCTAACGAGCAACAGGTGAAACTCACGGGGGATTAACGAAGGAGGGAAAACCCGGCAAGTAAAACACAAGGAATCAACTACTGCAAAATAGAATAGGGAACATTGATATTGATATAAAGAAAACTAGTCACAGAAAATACAATCCGAACATATCATGACAGGGACCATGAAAGTAAAACTCACTTACCATTCCTTAGCATCATTTTTAGTCATGAGATTGTGATAATTAGAGCTTTTTAGTTGATTTAAAAGCAGATTTTTCTCGCTGAAATCTTCACTTGTACTTCCTGACTCTTAATTAGTTAGTTTGATCGGTCACATATGCACTGTTCTGCCTGCTTTTTTCCGTAAATCACACAATAAGCGCCGACACAGAAGCTCAGCTGTGTCTCTTTCCTGATTATGTCCATTCAAGCTTGATGTCAGAACAAATCAAATCCCCCGGGGGCAAGCTTTCACTTCCTTTATGCTGAAATAAATTAAGAGGCAAGAGGAGAATTAAAGAAAATGACATTTTCCCTGATTTATGCTCTATTATGTTTTAAGAGGCTGACAACCTGAAACTAGGATTTAGACGAGGACAATAATCCCAGCCTTGTGGAAATTATTTCCTTCTCGACTTTGGGCTGTATCATCAAAGCAGAAGTGCAAATGCATGCCATAAAAGTTAAATCAAATGCTTTCAGAGAGGCTTTACCACTTGATTCTGATTCATTATCTTGTCTGGTTGAATGTGTACGTGTGCACGCGAGCGTACGAGGGTGTTTTGCAGAGCAGTAGATGTCGCTGGGACTCAGCTTTGTGTGGGCTGACAGAGGCTAAGGGTCCCATTGTGGCACGTTAAAAGCCAGGTTAATGCTTTCCACGCATAATCTGAAAGCCGGGGCAGCAGCAGTACATCTCCTCTCATTTAAATCTCACTTGCTTGTGTAACATCTTTTATTCCTTGAGTGGCAGCTCACCCTTGTTTTGTTTTGTTGGTTTTTTTTCAGCCGCTGCTTCACACTTCATTCGCAGTGATAAGCATGTTCTGTCTTGCTGCATCAGGAAGTTTACCCCGTCTGCTTCTGAGATGTGCTCTCACCACTTCCAGGTACTGCGGCGGAGGGAGAGGATCCTCATTGACTGCCGCATTGATTTTGAATTAGCACCACAGTGTCTGCCTTCTGCATTAGGAGTTCATTCAGATAACGATGTGGAAAAAAACTCAGCGGGCACTGATTAAAATTGATGCTTGTTGTGAGCAAGGAAAAATGCATGTTTCATGTCTTTTCAGCAGGCAGATTTACAACACCGGTCTTAAATCCCTCTGAGGCTAACTCCTATGAGGTAAAGTACTTGCAGACAGGCTTTACTATTTAAGCCATCAGTGGAAATCCGAGCAGGCTGTTTTTATTCTCCCTTGGAAATTTTGATCCTCTTGTCTGGTTGCGTTTTTTCTCCTTTGTTTAACAGAATTTTTAAAGTTCAGTTGCGTTTAATCGACATCAACTCTCCATTTTCATTGGATTTTACTGACCTCACAACAAATCTGCATTTCTCCACCAAACTAAACTTGATTCAGGCCTTGTTAAAACTACTAAGCTACATGTGATCTGGTTAAACACATGCAGTACGAGACTCATCCCCCTAAAGGCGCCACAGAGCGTCACAGGAAGTCATTCTTGCCGGTGGCCATCATCAAACTTTATAACTCCTCCCTCTTAGTGTCCCTGGACTTATGCTGCGTTCGAGTTACCTCGGAAGTCAGAAGTCCAACCTGGGAATGACGTCACACCTAAGTAACTAGAGTTCCAGTTACCAAGTCGGAAGAAAGCAAAATCAGAGGTGGAAACAAGATGGCTACATCTACAAAAGTTATTTTAGCGCTTGCCTTGTCCTTGCTCATATTCGGTAAAGGCAAGCGCCAAAATAACTTTCGTAGATGTAGCCATCTTGCTTCTGCCTCCGATTTTGCTTTCTTCCGACTCGGTACCTGAAACACTAGTAACTTGGGTGTGATGACATCTGACTTCCAAGGTAACTCGAACGCAGCATAAATCTAATAAAGTAATTGCCCACTGAGCATTTTTTGGTCTGAAAGAGGTCGAATAGATGTCTAAATGTAGCCTAGACGACTGGTCTAAAATCAGGCTACCACAGGTCTAGAAATAAAAGTTTTTTTTAGACGTCTAACTTAGACCAAGTTTAGACTAGCCAGCTAACAGAGGTCTACTCTGTATCATAATACAGTAATACACTATCATAATTATTTTGGTTAGGGTTAGTAAGTACTTGTTGCTTTTTTAAATAAATATTTATTGAATAATGCGTTAAATTGCAACGCCTAAATTCCATCTAAAAATATACAGAATCTAGACGGTTGAAATTTGATCTAAAAGAAAAACTAGACGTCCTTTAGCCGTCTATTCCTCGGAAGGTGGTAGCTTCTGTACTGAACATGTGCAAACTGTTTGTAAACCGGTCAATAATCTAACAGGAAAAACCCACAGGATCTGGAACGGCTCTGCTCCGCTCCGGCACGGCAGGCGGATCAAAAACGCAAGCATTATAATCAATGTGTGTCATTCCACAGAATCTGTCCGCTGTCTGGCTCCACTGCAGATCGGCTCTAGCAACCAGGATCAGATACGCAAGGGTTCTATTTGTGCCGGACACCAGAGCACGGCGCATCAATTCAGTGCAGCGCAGCACGAGCAGCAGCAGAAGTTGTATGTGGTTACAGAGTAAAATATCTGGTTAATTTTCAAAATAAAATAAAGTCAATACACTGAACTGTTGTTAATTTGATAATCGGAGAGGCCAGGGTTATGGGATGTGGGTGTTTATATACACCGCCGTTGATATTCACCATTTGGTGCATCTCATTCTATGACTCCCGGGAAAATACACACAAGCTCGTGAGATCGCGTCCAGTCTCGCGAGAAATATCTGTAATATCGCGAGCGCTTCTCCTTTGATGGCGGCGGCGGATTGGATCCAGTGGGCGCAGTATGTTTGCAGATCTGATCCACCTGCTGGTCTGGAGCAGAGCGAAGTCGTTCCGAATCTAGTGGGATATCCGGGTAAGAGATCAGTTTTGTTTAGACTTCCTGTTTTTTTCTTAAAACATTCTAACACTAATTCTTATATTCTGCCCTGTTTTTCTTGCCTTTTTTATTCATATTCATTCCTTTTTCTATTCTCCATCTGTTAATATTTGTATTTTTAAGAGCAAGTGTGATGCTGTAATGATCGATCTATCCCCAGCAGATGAAGTATCCTGATTCTGATTTATACATGAAGACTTGGAGTTGAGGCAGGTCTTAAGCCCCAGTCAAGCCGGCCACATCACTTATTATGCAAAACTTGTAATCTAAGTATCCTCAAAACTGATAACTTGTTAATAAAAGACCCTTTAAATCGTGTCTCTTCTGCCTACTGTGGAGATATTGCTCAAATAAGAATTGATACATCCATAAATCTGTAGAAAAAAGTCATTTTCATTCACAGAGGTGCGCAGGGTCATCCCTTCATGGTGATGTAACTTTTGTTTTTGGTCCAATTAAATCTGAAACAAGCCTTACTTCCTGTTTACCCTCACATAAACAAACCGTTACAAAACTCCCAAACAGAAATAGACTTATTTGGGATTTAGCAGGGTACCGCTGCATGAACAACACTGTCAACACCAATCACGGAGAGATAGCAGCACAAACTCTGTTGTGTAAACCATGTTTTACAGCAGTGGTTTCAGAGACCTGTCTCAAAAGTTAGACATCATTTTCTTTTCTTTACTTTTTTTTTATCCCACCTTGAATAAAAAGTAGCAGCAGAGAAATATCAGGAAACAAGATGAGAGAGACAGTGAGTGACAGGGAAAAGGTTCCTGGACAGGCCTCTAGGGTGTCCCAGTGTGTGTTTTTCAGCAGCGTCTTTCTGAAATAGGATCTCTTTTAAAATCAGGTCAGGAGTATTAAAATTAGTCACAGTCATGAAGTGACAGGGGTTGACAGGGTTTTCTTGGAAGAAAACGAAGCGGAGGTGGTGCTTTTCTTGTCATGCACATATCTGCATGTGTCGTGTGCACACTGGCTCAACCAAAGACTTTTCACAAGCAGCGTGTTGTCGAAGTTTTCATACTCATATAACTAAAGAAAAGCAAGCAAAGCTGTATATGCTAGGGCCCGACTGATATGGATTTTTTGGGGCCGATGCCAATACGGATTATTAGAGGGGAAAAAAAATCTGATTACTGATTAATCAGCCGATTTTTAAATTTTTTAATTAAGTTGTAAAAAATATACATATACTGTAGATATACTGTAAGCTACTGCTCTTCACACTGACAGGAAGACCGACTGATCAAACTCGGACCAGAAAAGTGTTTTCAACTAACTAACTAACGGCTAACAGTGTAGCAAGGCTAGGAGGCTAACTCTAACTTTAGCTTGCATATTACATAGTGCTTCACTGTTAACTCGGCGTGACCGAGACCAGCACAACGGGGAACATCATGAAGTGGGTTGAACTGAAACTTGTTGACTTATTGTGTATTACACAAACTGGTTTATTTACTGTTGAGGCAGACCACTCTCCTCCTTGCGTCCCTGAACTGCCTGTTACAGATCTGTCACTCCGCTGTGCTGTGAGGTAGTTAGTGGATGAAGATTGTCATGAGGTCGCTGCGCCATCTACAGGATAAGTCGGGGAACTTTTCAAATGGCGGAACATTATCTTATTCTCCGCATTTAATTTCTAAAAATATTGGCAAAAATTGACGACTTTTGGCCGATTACCGATTAGTCTCAAACGGGCTTAAATTGGCAGATTTAATCGGCTCGCCGATAAATCGGTCAGGCCCTAGTATATGCTACATTGAAATGCAAGAATTCTTGTCATAAGCTGTTGCAAGCAAGCAAAAACCTCAGAGTTTAAGAGGTGCTGGGACTGCAGTTCCTTTTGTGTCCACTTGAGGGTGGCTCCAAAGCCCCAAAAGCCACATACACACCCATTAAAGGAGGCCATCTTTACATCAAACATTAACATACATACTTACAACTTGGTACAAATAAAGAGGATTTTCATTTGTTTTGAAGACGTTTAAGAAATGAGTTTTGCATCTTCATTTGAGTTGGATGACTTGATTGACAGGCTGTAGATGTGGTGCTTTGTAAGGTGGCTCAAAGTCCACCTCAACTCCACCTGTTTTGCCAACCAATAATCAAGGCCTGTCAGCATTTCCAATACAGCAACCACCATTGATCTGCTTCAAAACTGCATGTTGCTGATGCTATTGTTGCTGATTTTACTCTGAAAAGGCAAAGTAGCCAAGCATCTCTCGAGGAGGGAGGGTGATGACCACCTCTCGCTTTACCTTGGATGCGCCCCTGCTATCAGTGTCTGTGAAATAGGTTTTTCAATTGTTTCTAATTTAACCATGATGATAAATTAGAAAAAAATAAAAAAGTCCTTAGGATATAGTTGGCACCATCTTCTCTTCCTCTGACTCAGCTTCCTCCGCTCACCTTGGTCAGCCATGCTTGTATATGCAGTATGTGTCAATGTCCAAGCTAAAATTAAAAGACTTATGACACTATTACTCACGTCGACTGGCAACCTTAACAATGAGGCCAGTCACTTAGGTACGTCTGCTTCTATTTGTCTCTTTCTTCCTCTTGGCACTCTCGCACGTCAGCACTTCCTCCCCTCGCCTGGATTTGAATAACCTCCCATCGCTGCAGTTTAGCGTTCGTCAAAGTGGGGGGACAGAAATCTTGCACTTGGCTCGGCTCCACACGTCAGGAGGAGGCTGGCTGCCCTTCAGTCAAGAATGTGGTTGATGTGCTGAGGGGAAAAAAAAAAAAAAAAAAAAAGAGACGCCCACAGGGAAAGTTTGCTATCTAAGTTGAACCCCCTTAAATCTCACAAAGTAATTAAGAAAGTAATTGTTACCTCTGAAAACTTTCCTTTTATCAGATTGGGGTTATTATCCAGGGGAGGTTGCTATCACCATTCTTTAAAATAATCTGATTAGAAAACTATTGCCTTGATATCTTTTCCCTGACACAAACAGCTTGTAATAACCCTTTTTAAAAATAGACAGGAGGCATTTTGCAGTGAAATACTCCCTCAATCCAACCACAATGACACGTCTGAGACTACAATCTATCTTTGGGTTATAAGGGGTCACATTTAGGACAAAAAGGCATCGAAACAAAGCTTGGAATTGCGTCTACAACCTCACCAGTCCTTGCACTTTTACTATCACATGTGGAATTAAGGATTAACAAAAGAATAACCCAAACTTTCCATTTGAGGCCAACATAAGCCTCTTAGGCTTCACTGCAATGTTGTTTTTGTAGTTTTTTGGATGCAGTGACTTTCATTACAGAGTCATGTTTGTTTTCAGCAATGATTGGCAAGCTTCTCATAAAATAAAGTGGGCTAAGCTGCTAGTTACAGCCCAATAAATATCACTTCATTACATAAAAGCTATGCCCCGGAGAAATGTGGCAAGCTAGGCTAAGTAGTTAAGCTACATGAATTTATTGTCTGGGTTTTTTATTTCGATTATTTCAAGCTATTTGATCGATGATCAAGCTGTTCGACGACAAAAGCTCCTGTGAGGAATCTGGCGCCCCCCTGTGGACTAAGCAGCCACTGCGAATCTTGCCCTCTCACATGCTTGATGATGACTTACCCCCAATTTCCACAGCATCCATAACGGCTATGAAAAGGCCGTATCCACGGATCATAACCATTCAAGTTAATGAGTCAATTTCCACCGGCTTCTTTCTGTTCCGCTGCAGATTACCGAACTTCGCAGCTGATCGCAAGAGTTCAATTTTTTCTGGACGCCAGAGCATGCCGGATAAATTCGGGACAAATTAACCTGTGCTGGAAAGGAAGTCAGGCACAGACACAAAATAAAACATTGTGAATCGTGAACATGAATTTGCAGGTTCTTGTGAGTTCTTGCGATTCCTGCTGTCCGTAATCCACCACGAAATTCACCTCACAAATGAATCTGGTAGGAATTGGCGTACAGTGAAAATTGCCACTGTTCCGAATGCGGTGGACTTTTATCGGTCCAATGTCATATTTATCTTAAGTCAGTCAGTTTCATGACTTTCGCTATATTTGGATATTTGGGCTGAATGATTTAAACACCATCAAATTCTGTTGAGATCCGACTTTTCTGGAGTTCATGGTTGGATGCAGGAAAATAAAAAAAAACAACTCGGCACTTAAAACACAAGTAAACATCCAATTTTTCGGATTTACACCAGACCCAGAGTGTCAGCCAAACCAAACCAGGGCTTTTCTTCCCCGTCTCTGATAACCTTGACCTCACTCTTTGGCGCTTAACACCCTTGTCGGCCTCTATCGTCGATGATGTTGCTGCATATCAGTGTCGGGTGTTATTCCCTGCCTCTGGTGTCGCCTCTTGGGCCGTGCCTCGCTATTTTATCCGTGTAATCACTAGGCAGCCTACAGAGATCAGACACACTGTCCGAGTGATTCCCCTCACAGGAATGTGAGCGCTCAAATAGCACAAACGAGTATCCGAAAAGACGGGAAGGTGTGTGCTTATGCGAGCGTGTGCGCGCTTTCTTTTCCTTTACGTGTGTGCAGTGGAGAGTGCGATGAGTGGTCGAGTGTCAGAGCTGCGACTTTCGAGAGCAAACACTGCTGGCAGCTCTCCGTAGTGATCAAGTCACGCGTCACTAAGCCCAGCGTGGATCCGCTCTGAAGTTCAGCTGAGTTAAAAGTCATGTGTTTCCTTTCTTTCCTTTTTTTTTTTTTTGGGACGCGTGTGTGTGCGCTTGTGAACCACAATGGAAGAATAGCTTTCAGTGTGTGTTTGTGTGCCTGCGACACAGCTACGCCAGGGTCACAAGGATGCCATTCATAGTCACAGTTTGTGACGGGTGTCTGACAAGCCCCACAGGAGGACTGCTTGATGTGCTGATACAGACAAGAATGTTTTCTTAAAGTGTTTTGCAGAGTGCAGATCAAGGGACGCATACTTAAAATGCACCAGAAAAACATTGTGCCACCACGAGGTTGTTTTTTTTTGGGTTCTGTTTGCACTCGAAAAATAAGCAAAAGCAAAGTATAAATCACTGAAAAGGCTCATGAAATCAAATAATGATGCGGCACATTTTCCACAATCAAAAACAAACACTATCCGCGTGTAAATTGTTTCTGGCTTTCACAATGTTGTGTGTGTGTCCGCACCATTAACTCTCTGTGATGTTTTTATTCAGTGTCGTTCTGCCAAGCATAACAGATGTGGGTCTGCATCTGATTTGGTATGCGAGCTCTCTTTTTCCCAGCTGTCACTAGTGTGCCGTCATGTGTGTGACATCACATCAGGTGAGGAGCGATACTGCGATGCCGATTCATCCTTGAAGAAACCTTCATTTAAAGCAGAAACCACTGACCTTGGAGCGTTTGAATAGTTTCTCTGAGGAAAACGTCTTAATTATCACATCAGGTGTCTAAAAAAGTGAAGGTATATTTGAGTTTTTATTTTTTATTTTTTTTAACCTTCTGCTGCCAGGACAAAACCCCTGAAACACTTAAAAATCGGTAAACAATCAAATTTTAAATATTCAACGATCCAATTTAGGCTTATTGTTTCAATCCAAGCCTGGGCTCAACTGCACCAAGGTTTTTTATAATTATATATTCATATGTTAATAGGTCATGTATGATTTCCCTTTCTTTTGTTCTCTGCGGACTCTTAGAGCTCAGTGATTTTAGCAATGCAGCGTAACCCAGTGTGTGTCTCCACCTCAAACCAACAACAGCCTACTCTTAAGTCTGGGATCAGGCATAGGGCTTTCTTGATGTTTAAAGGGCCCGTCAGTGAGACGCCATAAGAGTTCGCAATGTGCACTCCTCTGATCATCACTATCTCCTCACAAGCCAGCTTCATTTCAACTCTGCATTTGCATGGAAGTCCAAACTCAAGGTCCTTACACACCACGACACAAATATACGACAAGAAATTACGAAATATTCAGAGGCGAATTTTGACACGCCTGACTTTACACATCAAGCGCGATGCGATTTTGCAACTTTCTTGGGGGAGAAAGACGCGTCCCGGGTGGAAGTGAGAAGACTGACCCAACAGCAGACTGACTGTTTTTCAGTTCTGATTAGACTCTAGTGTTGAGATGTCTGTCTGTCATGACAGCATGTACTGAGTCGGGGCCAGTACCAGATAAGCACATTAAACTATAATCCATAAACTTAAGGTAACAACCGAGACCTAATAGTGCTGTGACAGCAACATGATTGATTTTGAGACAGTGAAAATACATATGGTATGTTGTATCTGAACAGATTAGCTTACGAGCTAAAGTTACTTAGCACAGATGAAAGTTAAAACAAAGACGTTTAGCAAACTGTTAAAGCACACAAACCATCGTCATATAAGAAATCCGACGCTATGACTCTCCACAAGTTGTCCTTCAGGTCGTTATCTTTGTAATATTTGTGTTTTTTATCAAAAAGTACTCTGTTCTCTGACACGTAAACAATCAGCCGGTCAGCCATGTTGGATATACTGGTGAATCTGACGTCGCATCAACATGAAATCTGATTGGTCAGAAGTGGAAACACAGTATGCAAAACTTTAGAAAATTTGACCGTGATATGAAAAAATATATGGCGCAATATCCAAGGATGGGAAAACGTCGCTGATGTGAACGCTTGTATTGACAGGATATGGGTTTGAAAAAAATGTTGACGTCCAACGATAAAAACGGTCCCGGTGTGAAAGGACCTTAAGACGTCATCTTAAAAAGTCACCAAAATTATGTCAGAAGTGGACACACAGTATGCAAAACTTTATTGACCGCGATACAAAAACGGGAAAACAACACTGATGTTAACGCTTGTATTGACAGGATACGAGTTCGGAAAAAATATTGACGTTTATTGACGTCCAAAATAATCACACAAAAAAAAAATGCTCCCGGTCTGTAAGGACCTTTAGATGCCAATAAGCTCTCCATCATGCACACATGCAAAAAAAGACACATGCAGATTAACTCACACACTGTTAAAGGTCTTTCTCTAGAAATGTCAATTAGCTTCAATAATAAAATAATCCAGATTATCTGACAACATATAACTATGGTCTGTGTCTGCATTGCCAACAACTTCCCAGAACAATCTGCAGTAAACATAGACGTTGTGACATTTATTATTTCCTGACTTTGACGTCACCGTCTCTTTAAATAGCAGCTGTACATGTTGTTGTTGCTCTGTCTTCAAGAACCCTGGAATGGCCTCGTAACTGTTCTGCGAAAAGCCAAAGTATGCAAAGTGTTATCGACCGAACCCACATACAGAAACTAAGCTTTCTTCTGTTTGTTATCTCAGGGTAACGCCTATTCACTTAACAACAATGAGAGGAATCCAAACAACAAAGGGAGCGAGCAGAATTCATGAGAAAATAGTCCTCATACATACAACATGGAGCTTCTTACTGGGTCAAATGTGATCAATATCAAGTGCTAATCCTCTGGAATCTTCCTCTGAATCTCATTGAGTTCAGCTTTTAACATGTGTAAGCGACTATAAATAAGTGGTAGTTAGTTTTAAGACCTGTAATAACCTTTTGTACACTCAGAGCAGCAGCCTAATTAATGTCAACGACCTGCAGCGCAAATCCAAGTAATAAAATACTGATATAACAGCAGACTCCAAGGGGCTTGAAAGTTGCCTCTGTAATGCCACCCACTGGTTCCCGAAGAGGCGGTGTAAAGCCCTATAATGGCGGGCACCATATTGGAAAAGCTGACTCAGACTAGCTTTCAGATATAGAGGTGGAACCTGAGCATCGTTTGCGCCCACATTGTGCAATTTACTGCATTTTTGTACCATGCAAGAAAAAAACTTGATTCTGCTCCCACTGTGGGATCCAACTGGAGTTTCTTGGCTTTTGGGGCCAGTCTCTAGTGGATATTTGAGGAACTGCAGATTTCTGCCCCTCTGGATGGATTGATTTACATTTAAGGTTTCCACAAAATATACTGTTAATCTGTGAAAGCTAAATTTTTAAATAGCGGTAAATTACTGTATTTTAACAATGAATTATCCGTTTTTGTGTGCATGTTTAAAGACTCACCATACATATTACCACTGACCTGCAAACTAAACAATGTTGGAGTTGTGTTGGAGTGAAATGTGCCACCCAAAAAGTCCAGAGGTGTTATTTTTCATCACAGCAGCAGCAGGAAGCAAGAAGACACTGCAACACCTGACTACAGTGTGCCAAAAGGGACATAACAGCACATATTCAACGCCGGCAACCACAATAGAGACGATAATTAATCAATGCAAAATTGTGAAAGGGCTTTCTTAAAGTTATCACTTGATTTGAAGACTCCCCTTGGCATAGCTGTTTACTCTCATCTATGAGAAAATGGAGGAATTAAGTCACATATACAAGCTTTAGTTCTAAACGACTCCAACAGCTCAAGCTGATCTCTTGAATAAATGTACCACTCTGTTTGTGTTGTCGGACCGCAAGTACACACAGTCCACTTGTGGTTGTAAAACAGAGTAAATGATGTTTGGACAGTTGGTGGAGTGTGGGCATGAGCCTGCAGAAAGGAAGCTAACCAGACAGCGGCCAAATGTTGCACGTTGGCTGTTACATAATTTGTTTACAACTGTTGAAATCCTGATGTCAGTCCTCAAAGGTACTCCTCTACGGATGCTTAATACACAAGTTTACACCTCAATCCATGTCTCTTTAACAATGGAGACCAAAGAGGGTTAGAATAAAGACTTTTTTTTGAGATTCAGAGCATGAAAAATTCACCATCTGGCAACTGGATCTAAAATGGGACTCAGTTCAATCCAGCCCTTGCTTCTAGGTTGGATATCATACAAATATTTTGCATAATCAGAAGTAGAAATAATTATTATCTCTGTAAAATGTGCAGAGACTCAAAGATCAAACACCCGAGCTCCAATTAACATCTTTCGAAGTACAAAAGAGGAAGTAAAGATGAAACGGATGACAGAATACATCATTTATGACTCTGAAGCTGATTTTTCACCATTTGGTTCAGCCTCACAGCTGTCCTGCTGAATACACGCGTCTGAACTCATGAGGCTCATTTGCAACATTTCTTTAGGAATCAGTGGGTAAAAGATGAATAAGCGAGTCCTTCACTACGAGAAAAGAAAGAGCTTTGAAGGCTGTGAATTACAATGTCACCAATTCCTTATTGCTAAAAGCAACAAGTCTATTTGAGTAATGAATGAGTGTGTTCCCCCGGATTCCTTTGCTTTCCTGGTTTATTCCTCCTAACGCTTTTAGGAGTGCGTGTGTGTGAGGTGGGAAAGCTATCACATTTGTCTCTATTGTAAACCCTAAAGCTAGGATAAATGAGTTTAAATGATAGAGTATTTGCATCACTGAGCAAGATTTTGGATGAATGAGCCTCAGCTCATGATGAAATTCTACTCCAGGCTCAGCGTATAATTTCAGACACACGTGGTGCCTTTGCAATTCAATTATTCTCCTGGATCACCTCCAGTGGAGGGCATTATGCTTAAATTTGCATGCAGACAGTGGGGGGAGAGTAGGTATGGAAAACTGAATGGCTTCATTACGTTATGGTGGATGAGTCTGACCGTATCATGCTTAAGTCAAGGAAAATACCTGCAGGAGCCTGGAATGTATGTATTCTAATTAGTCTTTGCTGGTTTAAAGGAGAACCTGGATCACAGACAACTTACAATTGTGCATCTATATAAAAAATGGTCAAAGATATTCTGGGGTCTAATGCACCAGCTATGAGAGGAGTTAATTTTGGTGACTTTTTAAGATGAAGTCTCAAGGTCCTTTCACACCGGGACCGTTTTTATCGTGCAATTATTTCGGACGTCAACATTTTTTTCAAACCCGTATCCTGTCAATACAAGCGTTCACATCAGCGACGTTTTCCCATCCTTGGATATTGCGCCATTTATTTTTTCATATCACGGTCAAATTTTCTAAAGTTTTGCATACTGTGTTTCCACTTCTGACCAATCAGATTTCATGTTGTTGCGACGTCAGATTCACCGGTATATCCAACATGGCCGACCGGCTGATTGTTTACGTGTCTGAGAATACAGTGCTTTTTGATAAAAGACACAAACATTACAAAGATAACGACCTGAAAGACAACTTGTGGAGAGTCATAGCGTTGGATTTTGTCATATGACGATGTTTTGTGTGCTTTAACAGTTTGATAAACGTCTTTGTTTTAACTTTCATCTGTGCTAAGTAACTTTAGCTCGTAAGCTAACCTGTTCAGATACAACATACCATATGTATTTTCAATGTCAATGCCTATCTGGTACTGGCCCCGACTCAGTACATGCTATCATGACAGACAGACATCTCAACACTAGTGTCTAATCAGAACTGAAAAACAGTCAGTCTGCTGTTGTGGGATGTGTCTTGGTTGTAACTTGGTTAACAAAAAGTCACAAGATGTAAGTTTTTATGAAATCGACAGTTGAATTATAATATCTTGGTCTAGTTGTAGTTGATAAAATATTAGATTCATACATTCAAACACCATTTCACAAAGTAGAGGTATAGTATTTGGTCATTCTAAGACAGATCCATGGACTAAGTCACTTCTTGTCGTCTTGGGCAGTCTCTTCACTCAAACCAGTACTTTTGAGGAAATTTGATTTGGCTACAAAAAAACTCTCTTTTAGCAACACAATTATTCCTCAAAATTTGTTGCACCTCTGCTGCCTTTCCTCCCTAAAGCGCATTTTAATTTGGTATTCAATCACTTTAATGTTGTCTGTTAGGATTTTTCTACTCATCACTATGGCAACTACACAAGTATTATTGTACTGTATTTCCACAAACTTTACTTTTTAAGGTTTGTTTACCTGAAATCGACCTGTTTACCTTGGCTTTACCCGTTCTCACTTTCAGGAGGCTTTATTAGGGTCGCAAAACCAGGTCCCTTTTTGAAAAATACTGTCGCCACGCAGACTTAACGAAAAGCGGTGAACTTCTAAACACACTCTGAACTTTTAATAGTGTGTTTTTTGGGGTCACTGCGCAGTGAGGGGAGAGGCAATGTGTCACAGTGTGCTCTCAAGTTGGGCTGCGTCCCGGAGGATTCAATATTCCATTAGGACTATTATTTCTAAAGTAGATTAATCCCTGTCATTTAACGCTTGGCTGATGTCCATTTGAAGTCATTATGAAGAAGCACTGACATTGTTTCATAAATTATTCACAACATTATCTGGGACTCTGTGCAGCCACCAAGCAGAGCTTAAGGGCTGGATCGTTCGCCGCTGGAGGAAAGCGTGTTCACCTTGATGAATTGAATAGATGGATCATTTTCAACATGCATGCAGGTGCATTTTAGGACAGTGCATTTGCTTTGTGGGGCGTTTTGCCGTTTGCGTGTGTTGATCACGAGTCGATTCGTCAGTTTGGATCTCCACAGTTATGGGCCTTATGGGACCTTTATATCCTCCAGCTAGGATACAGATTTAGAGCAGCTGCAGTATTATAACCCATTGTGTGCAAATTGAAGCTGTGGCTGCAAGACTCATGCATATGAATTCCCAAAAAAAAAAAAAAAAATTACAACATAACTGCTGTTTCTACATCCTTGCATGAGCTAACTAACAATCAATATGTTCCCTAGCTGGATACATTTGTGGCATCAGCTTGAATACACTGTATTTGATCTATTCTTATCTGCGCCTCTTCCCTGCTGCTGCAATAACCCAGTTCCCCACAGGGATAATTAAAGTTTAATTTAATCTAATTTAGGAGGTGGGTTTCCTTTAAAATTCAACACAGTAAAAAAAAAGCTCTAATGCTGGGTCTGCTAAGTAATTGTAAGGGAGTAAATGGAGCAAGAATCAGTAAGGGAGTGCACACGCATTTATTCTCTGTAATGACACCAAACCTGTTTGGATAAAAGATTTCATGCCTGTGCATGATCAGCCCGTCATTACAAAACCATGTACTTCAAGTCATGTTTTCCAGTGTAATATATCTGTCATCACATCATTTAACAGCTCAGTATTATTATTTACGATAAGGGTTAGGTGTTGTTGTGGTGTGAAAGGATTAGGCGAAGGATCTTTAAGAATTTGCATATTTTGAAACAAATAAAAGGACAATGAATGTAAGTATTGTCAGGGTAAAAGAAGCCTGATCTAGTGTACACCTCTTCCCATGAAACTCCACCGTTTTCTAAAGAAAGTGTTGCACAACTGTTGTTCTTTCAGCGCGGTTAACCCCGGCGCTGTAGTTCTCTATCAGTCAACCTCACAATATAAGAATTGAGCTCTTGGTTTTAACTGCAAAGCCAATACTGAGTCGCCTTAATCCTCCGTTCTTTACGAGCTGCGGTTGCAATAACAAGTCAGTTCAGAAAAAACTTTAGAAAGCACTCTTTAGCTGTGAAAGGAATTCATTTGAAAAATTAACCGGACATTGGAGCTGCTTTTTCTTTTTTTTTTTTTTAGCACAGATTTAAACCTGCTGTAGGAGCCGATGGTTTTTGGCTGAACGCCAAATGCAGCACAACACAGAGTATGATGCACAAGTGCTGAGATATGGGTTACTATACTGATTAACTTAGCCTTTTCATGGAGTTTGATGCCAATTATGAAAAGACAGAATGCATTAGCCTTATCCTATAAAGGGCACTGGTGGAAAACAGGCCATCCAGCTGCTTGTGTCCACTCTATTACACTTCCCCTATAGTGTATAATGCATCATTCGTCCTTCAGCTCGCCATGACATGTGCCCACTAAGTCCCCAAAGGGAATCTTCAGTTAGTGTTGTGTTGTCCATGAACATTTCATTCAAAAGAATTGAACTGCTGAGTGTATGACGTGAACTGAATCAGCCCGAGACCTGATTCATTCCTTTTTCAGTTCAGTTGCCGGTCAGGAGTGGAACTGCCGCCTCTGACTCTGGCGAACGACACACAGTCAGCGAGCTAGTAGGCGGAGTCTCATGATTCACTCTCAGCGAATGAATGATATGTATCAGTCAGTAGATGAAACAGTCTGTAAATGATGTGTATCAGTCAATGAACAAAATAGTCTGTAAACTACACGTCAGTCAGTGAATGACGTATCAGTCTGTGAACGAAACAGTCTGTGAACGAAACGACAGTCTGTGAACGAAACAGTCTGTGAACGAAACAGTCTGTGAACGAAACGTCTGTGAACGAAACAGTCTGTGAACGAAACAGTCTGTGAACGAAACAGTCTGTGAACGAAACAGTCAGTGAACGAAACGACAGTCTGTGAACGAAACAGTCTGTGAACGAAACAGTCTGTGAACGAAACGTCTGTGAACGAAACAGTCTGTGAACGAAACAGTCTGTGAACGAAACAGTCTGTGAATGACCTGTATCAGTCAGTGAACAAAACATTCTGTGAATGACCTGTATCAGTCAGTGAACAAAACAGTCAGTGAACGACATGTATCAGTCAGTGAAAGAAACGTCTGTGAACGAAACAGTCTGTGAACGAAACAGTCTGTGAACGAAACAGTCTGTGAACGAAACGTCTGTGAACGAAACAGTCTGTGAACAAAACATTCTGTGAATGACCTGTATCAGTCAGTGAACAAAACAGTCAGTGAACGACATGTATCAGTCAGTGAACAAAACGTCTATGAATGAAACAGTCTGTGAACGAAACGACAGTCTGTGAACGAAACAGTCTGTGAATGAAACAGTCTGTGAACGAAACAGTCTGTGAATGAAACAGTCTGTGACCGAAACAGTCTGTGAACGAAACAGTCTGTGAATGACCTGTATCAGTCTGTGAACAAAACATTCTGTGAATGACCTGTATCAGTCAGTGAACAAAACAGTCAGTGAACGACATGTATCAGTCAGTGAACGAAACGTCTATGAATGAAACAGTCTGTGAACGAAACGACAGTCTGTGAACGAAACAGTCTGTGAATGAAACAGTCTGTGAACGAAACAGTCTGTGAATGAAACAGTCTGTGACCGAAACAGTCTGTGAACGAAACAGTCTGTGAATGACCTGTATCAGTCTGTGAACAAAACATTCTGTGAATGACCTGTATCAGTCTGAACAAAACAGTCAGTGAACGACATGTATCAGTCAGTGAACGAAACGTCTGAGAACGAAAGTCTGTGAACGAAACAGTCTGTGAATGAAACAGTCTGTGAACGAAACGTCTGTGAACGAAACAGTCTGTGAACGAAACAGTCTGTGACCGAAACAGTCTGTGAACAAAACAGTCTGTGAATGACCTGTATCAGTCAGTGAACAAAACAGTCAGTGAACGACATGTATCAGTCAGTGAACGAAACGTCTGAGAATGAAAGTCTGTGAACGAAACAGTCTGTGAACGAAACGACAGTCTGTGAACAAAACAGTCTGTGAACGAAACATCTGTGAACGAAACAGTCTGTGAACGAAACAGTCAGTGAACAACATGTATCAGTCAGTGAACAATGCTGTGACTTCAATGAACGAACTCGCGGCTGTGTCACTCACTTGTGTTCTGCACCGGCAGGACAGGGCTCCAAAGCACTGACTGATTCAGTGAACAAATCCTTTGAACAAATCCTTTCAGTGAACAGATTCTTAATATTCAGAACAGTCAAAAGAACTGTTCTTCCCATCACTTTCTTCAATGGAAGACAAGAAATGAACGTAAAGTATATTTATCACTCTCTTCAATGATTTTTAGAGTTGAGCAGCGTTTTCACGCTGAGAAAAAAAAGGTAAAGGTGATTGTAGCGTCTGATCAGGACTGCTCCCCCAGGAGAGATTTAAGGCAGGTCTAGCTTCCCAGGGCACTATTGTGGCAGATCCCAAACTCGCTTGAAGGTTTCTTTATCTCTCAAACCCCCCCTTGGGTTTGTGGTTGAAGCTGCCCTGCTTAGTCTGCTGCCCACACAGCTTAGACCTGGAAGAGCAAGCCAGGAGTGAACAGAAAGATGGAGCGCTGCCAAAGTCAATAGATGCACTTTTACTTTTTCGTCTATGCGTGTGCAGGCTTGGTGTTTTGTTGACATGTAAAGTAAGGATTAAGGGCACAAAACCACTGAGTAATTCAACTTTTACCGACATACAAACCGCTCATTCTAGGTCGAGAAAGATTGGCACTTTTACTACTTTTCATAAGATGTCAGGATCAGTTTAATTTGGTTTACGTAACACGGTTTGACTGACGCGTTTCTTTATTTTGCCACTTGATGTCTCAAGACACCTCACAGTGCGCCCTGACAACTTGGCACACTGTTTCTACCCTGAATAAAGCGAAGATGATGAACTTTTATAAGGCTGCTCATTCGGAAGCCACGAAACATGCTGGAAGACCGTCATCTTTTGCGATAATCTCCCAATGTCTATTTTTTCTTTATCACTTAAGTCATACATTGATTTTATCACCAAGTAAAACATCTGATTCCTATTTACTCATGCATTCCATTTTTTCTCTACCGCCTCAATCCTTTTCAGGGTCACGACTGCATCAGCTTAAAAAAAATACATTCTGTTGATGCTGCATGTGGTAACCATCCACACCCAAACCATTTTTTCCCCAAGGCTGAATTTACTAGGTCAGGAGGATGAATTATGACGGGCTTCTTTTGAAGTTAATACCCCAATAATTGACTTTTTTGGACAAACAGAACACACAACTTTGGATGAAAACCACCCCTAAAAATGTGAAAGTAATGCTGCGTTTATTGATTATCTCCCCCCTGAAGCTAGTTGTGAAACCAACATTCACAGCACACATAAAGAAGCATTAGAGAGGATTTATTTCGAGCTATTTTAAAGATAACAGTACACTGTTCGCTCCGTCTTTAGTTTTCCTGTTTTCCTCCCAAGGCGTCAAGTACCCGCCTTCGCCGTCTTATAAAGATGCACAAGATCCTCTTATGCATCAGAATCGCGGCTTTCAACTTGGTGTACTGTAAGCCTCTCAGCTGCAACATTATGTGCTCATACAGTCTGCTGTTCGGACATTTTCGAGCAAAGGTTGAGGTCAATGGGTCAGCCTTTAAAATCGAGGATCAGCAGCAAAGCTCTGGGTAGAAACAAGGTGGAGGTCGAATAATAAACTTTAAAAACTTTCCAGACTTTTCTCAGGGATTTGATTTGATATGCTGCGTGTGATCCGGTTGTCCCCGGAGCTGAAGAAATAATGACCATTGTCAATTAGAGCGTAGACTCCATGCATGCCTGACTGCAAAAATAGCATTTTGGCACGACTGCAAACAAATAAACACATTTAAAGATCATCACACGCTCACCGGGGTAGAGGAAATCGGTTTCAGTTCTTGAATATGAGCTTTAAACGTCTTTGAGCTTTGAAGTTTTCCTCTTATACAGAGGGAAATAGGCTTGAGGAGATCAAACTGACTCATTAGTTGTTGCCTGGAGGTTGCCAGAACCGGGCAACAACAGACATTTTATGGGGGTGCAAATATTTTTGGAGAGTACTGAGAGGAATTCTGCCTCGAGATCTAATAATGGAAACAGAGAATAAAACCAGTCGTGTTTTGGTGTGTTAAAAATCCTGAAAGTCGCCGTGTAGTGACATCAATCAACTGTTCAAGGAATAAACTCGCCACTTGGAACTCTCAAGTCCAGTTGGCTCCAAGTCAGTGACCCCGTTTACATAGGTCCAAAAATCCTATTTACAATCAGATTGAAAGGTCAATCAGATTCAAAATGTCGCATATAAACACCTTAGCCAATCTGATTCACCCGGATCTGATTGTATTTCGGGTCGGATTGTAAGAGATTGATAATCCACTCCATGCTTCATATATACGGTTGAGTGGAGTGGATTGGGTTCACAGAGAGGCTTGTTCGGTCTGCGCAGGCGCTCGGTATTACGTAAGAGGCACGTAGTGACGTACGCAGAGTGCGCCCAAACGAAAACAAACATGGCGAACAAACAGAAAAACTGAATGGTGGAGTGTTAAAGCGTACACTTCTTGCTGTGTAACCTGGCTGGATTATACTTTTATTAAACTTCAACACATGGGTTTCGTTACTCTGCTCGGTCTGGTAACTCCAGCGGTGTCACACACAAACACGTCCGTGCGCAACTCTAAAACGGAACTAAAATAATGGTTCCTATTAACAATTCCCATTGATACAATACAATACAATTGGATTCAGCTGGGGCCATAAAAACGCGGACTGAATGTGGATCTCTTTACTTTAAGTTCATGTATACAGATGGAATCAGATCAGAACTACCCATGTAAACGGGGCCATTGATTCTTATTAGCGGCTTCGTTCACGATTTTCTATACATGCTAATTTAAGTTGAACTTTACCCTCCCAGAGTAATAAATTCAACCCTTTTCAACTCAACCTGTCACCATTTCCCCTAGAAGATAGAAACAGGCGCCAAATGACTCCAAGCACCTGTGGGGGGGTTTATGTGCTCATGTCAAAACTCCACATCTCAACCGGTGACATGTGCACAACAAAACTTTCCCTTGTAACCCAGGCACAAACTGACACACCGCGCCATCTCACAACTCATTGCCCTCCTGTTCACTTCATCTGTCATCTTGCGTGCACCTTTCCCCAGCGGCAGTCTGTCAACATTTGCTTCTGTTCCTTGTTTTGTCTGACTGATAAATGTAGATCTGTTGTTTGTGCAAGCGCTAATGGATTCTAATGAAGCATCTATAATAATCTGTCAAGCTTTCTAGCCAGTGGACACAAAGACACTCAATCTACGACAAGTCCCAAACCTGAGGCGCGGAGGAGAACACAGCACTCAGGCGGCATGCGGCAGGTTGTCACCTTACATTACCTTGTGGGAAATTATCCAATAAAATAACCTCCCACTACCTCCTCTCCTACTTCCCTTCAAAGGAAGATAGTGTTACGTTGTTTTCAAGCAGCAGTATGTGAAATTCTACTTTCATAAGTACTGCCAAGGACGTAAAGATGTACCAGTGTAATGCAAAAAAAATATATATATATCTGCAGTGGTGCTTAAACTATCTTATATTGCTTCTTATAGCAACCCTCCGGACATGTCTGGGAGCTGTGTGGACCAGTTTTTAAAAGGGAAATGTTGCCCCATCCTTGCTGGATTAAAGATTTAAGCTGCTCAAAAATTCAGGGTCTCTTTTGTCGTATTGTTTATTGCATGATACGCCAAAAGGGGTGAGGTCGGGACAACAGCCTGGCCAGTTCAGCATTGAATGCTTCTGCTACAGAGATGTAGTGTCGTAACCTTGTCTTTCTGAGGTATGCAAGGTCTCCCAGGTAAACTGTACAGGCAAGATTGGAGCAAATGTTGCTCTAAAACTTATTAATATTTTCCAGCATCAATGGTGAAAGCTTTCTTTGTCAAGGTCTTTAGACAATATTTGTGTGTTGTCAACAAAACACAGTTTTTCAAAGGCCAATGGCGATGCCAATTATGAGAGGGTAGGTGGACTGATGACTAACATATGATATCTATATATCAACCTTTTTATATATTTATTTTGCCAACAGTCTGGCACTTTTAAATTTTGTTGTACTTATTACAATGACAATAAAGGAGTATTTAATTTAATTTAATTATTTTGCTTTGGTAAAATACATTTAATAATCCAAACAAATTTCTGAACTTGAGTGAAATTTTATAAAACAAATGTGGATAAAATAATATTTGTCACAGTAAAATATCACCATAAGAGACTTTTGCATCCAGCTGGTGAAAACTGTTGAGAAAGAAAGACAATATAAAGGTAAATATTGTAGTTAAAATATTTTTAAAAAGTCAGAAATTCCCATGCAGAGTAAAATCTATGTAACATACAAACTTTCTTAGCCAATAAAATGTTTGAAATTGATTTTTAACAAATCAGTGGAAAGACAAAAAGGTTTTGGGCTATGCTGTCTATACTGAACCGCATTATTCTACGCATACTACAACTCAAACAGTAGCCTTTGACTACTCAGGTTTGATATGCAGATGATGAGGAAAAATAGGCTTTCAATTGGAGAAGGTACTAGGGATATCAACCTTGTGAGGAATGAGGCAAAATGATGCTAATTACGTTAAAATTGCCATTAATTATCAAACTAATTAATCGGTCTATCTCGTGATTTTATTCATTGTTTTAGTGATATTATCTACTGCACATGATAAAATTAACAAACTTATTTACTTTGAGGAACATTATTCTAAGATGTCCCAACTATTTGCTCATGCAGTCTCTCACACAGTGGTAAACCTATTCCCATTTTAATCTCTTCAAGCCTCATCTACTAAAAAAAGTTATTTTCATACCCTGTCATGTTAATATTAGGTTTTGTTTGAGTTGCAAACCATGAAATATGTTTTTCTGAATATTTCACACAGAGTCCAAACTTTTTTAGAATTGTGGTTTTTGCACATCGAGTTAAACAGAATTGCTCAAGTGTCTCCCGTCTTTTTGGAAGTCCTGCCCCAGTTGCACAGCCTGAGTAAGTCCATAGCCACGTGGAAATAATCAGAGAAGCCACCATTGAGTTTATAGCTTAGCCGCAACTCAAGAAAACTGCATTACACCCCCTTTAACAGAACATTCTCAAATCACAAACGTACATTAGGGCAGTATACAATGGCATGTACAGTTTGAATACACTTTGAAATGAACATATTATAAAGCATAGTGAGTCAACTCCAACCTCAACCTCATTGGGCACAGCTCTCATGATGACAATCTTGATATCTTCCATTATGATCTCTCAAGGTTGCCAACCCACATGTGCATTCCTTGAATACCAGGTTACCAATGAAAGCAACCAAGCTGAACTCAGTCCTACTGTACTGAGTGTAATCGTAGAGCTGCAAAAGGTGGAACTTTCCAGGGTGAGAAGCGTTTAATTTTCATCTAAACCCAAACTCTCTTGGTGTTTCGTCCTGTTTATGTGCTATACTCCCCGATCTTTATTGAGAAATCTCCCTCAGCCTTTCTGTTCCCTCACACATCTGGGACTGATATTCAAAAGCATGGAAACAGCATGTTGAGTCTGTTTCAAGTCATTCTGTCTGGCCTGGTTAGCAAACTGTGGTCCAAGCCGCCATATTATTATCTTTTTTGATCCATCTCAAACTGTTTGAATTAGTGTTGACCCAGAATCGGCTGCCAGGGATGGAGTCTGTGCTGATGTGGAGCCACTTCACTAGATTTGGTGTTCCTGTGCTTCTTGTTTCTTGCATAAATGTTGAGGTACGGAGACCAGATCTTTTGAGTGACACGTTTGAGGCGAGAACAGCTGTTTTTTATTCCCATCTGTGGAGAAATATGTCAGGAAAAAGAACGCTGTAACACAGCAGTGTGGATGATACTAGTCAGCCATGAATTGCATTTGTCATTGTTAGCTTTGATGGCTGGTACAGTCAGACAATCTGGCTGTCTGTGTATCCATCCACAGTACTTTAATATACGTTAGAGGCAAAATCTCATCACATCTCACAAGGGTTAGTGAAATGTGAAATGCGGATGTTCGTCCAGGCAGGCCACAAAGTCAAACTCAGCTCTTCAGATGATCCTTAGCTCCCATTTTTACCAATCTGGTTTTGTGCCTTTTTGCAATGGAGTCAAGAGTTTCTTGGCTTCCTATTACAGCGCTGACTCACACTGGTGTCCGGTATGTGACAAACACGCTCATCTGCCAAACTGACGAAGAGGCATTTGGCCGCCTTGCCACTCCGAGTCAACCCATGATACATCTTGTTTGTTAACGTCAGTTGGCATCTTGGATCCTGGCTTTGGCGCAAGGGTTTAAGGACAGGCCTGCAATGGTGCGTGTTTTGGTCTACTTTATCATTTTTTAGTGGATTATGGGTATACAGTTTACACCATGCGCAACGTGCCATATTTTTATATTTTAAGTATCATTTTGGGACAATTTTGCCATTACGGAGAAGGCTACATCCTTTCCACCTGGATAGGGTGCGTGCTGAAACTGCTGACCCAAACGAGCATCTCATTATGGAACTTTCTGGAGGAAGTTTGCAACTTCTCAATCTGTACAGAAACTTTGGAAAAGCTATTTTTCATGCATTGTTCAGTCAAGTTTTCGTGGTATATTGCTTCACGGCTGAGCTGCAACACTTTGGCAGAAACTTATTGGGACTCACGCCAACAGAAAACAAAACCCCAAATAAGAGCCAAGTTACTAGTTGTTTCCAAACATCCTATTACACTCTCACTTTTAGCTCATTTTGGTGCTTTGTGGATGTTTGCCAGATTTCTTTTGAACTCATGATAATTATGGTTGTGACTTTGGCAACTAAACTCACCATGCCTGGTAATTTGATTGCTATAAAACAATGAGTCCTGTCTGACCAAGATTAACTTAACCTATAAACAACAACAACAACAACATAATACCTTGGCTTTCCACAGAAATGCTGATCAGCTGATCTCATTATTGCAGTTTTCACGCTACCCAATTTCCCCCCCTTCTTTTTTCTTATCTTTGATTTCAAGGACGAGTCTTCTCTTCTTTCATATGCAAACATTAGCAGAATAAAGGCTTGCCAGTGTCATTGAGGCATTATTCATGTAGTTTTAGCTCCATGTTGGGCTCATTATTGATTTCTTGAAGTGGCACTCCTCCATCTTGGCGGCTGTACGCCAACACCGGAGCCTTTTGTCTCGCCCTCCAACAAGCATTCCAGTCCTTCAGCTTATTCTAAGGTATTTAGATTATATATTTATATTCAGGAGCAGAGCTTGAAGTAAGCCTCCTTCCTTATTAAGGAGGGTAACCTTCTTCCTGCTGCCAAGCTTCTTCCCAATTACAGCGACTACTGCTGATGAAATGGCTGTGCAACATGGCGACTTGTCATTTGGCCAATTATTCTTAATGAAGCGCACAGACGGAAGGATAACTGTGCTGTGCCATGCTGTGTTTGTAATATCTGTACAGGGACAATCATGTTAAATGTTTTAGATTCTACTTGTCCAATGCTTTCAGCGTTTTCCATCATTTCCACAGCCTGTGGAGCCTAATCAGTCATATTATAATGGCCTCTGAAGTGGTTGACAGCATGAATTTGAGATATTAAAGAATTAACGCAATTTCAAACTCCTCTCAAAGTAGAAAGTATTGACTGCTTAGCCTGCTTTTTCATCGATATCTCTAGTTTTGATAAATTGTTTTGTGTATTTGCTCAAATTCAAGCCACACTTGAGATGTAATAGATTTCCTCCATAGCATTTATTCACCCAGAGAAGATTCGCCGAGCATGGGTGCTCTTCCTGTCAATGCGATGCCTCGCATTTACACAGTGAGACACATTCACAGCTGGGAGCTGCTCAGCACAGCCACTGTTTCCCACTCCCGGCCGCTGAGCAGCTCCACTGGAGCATTTAGCATTTAAGTGCCTTTTTCGAAGGTACATCATCAGTCGGTCTGGGGGGATGAAGAGAGAGAGCTACTTATTCACTTATAGTACGCCTCGAGCATACTGTACGTCAACTTTCAAACCCCTTTAATGCTTTTATTTAACATATCGTTGCTTTTCCTGCTGGTGCTTAAGTATATTATCCTGCCTAAATGAAGGCTTACGTATGACAAGTACCCTGAGGAGTCTAATATCCACAAATTTGAATATTATGGATTTCCATGTGGTTTTCGCGCGGTTGGGTGGTTTCATGTATGGAGATGCATGGCAACACCTGAAGGTGATGTAGTGTCACGAACTAGAGTTAAAACAAAAGGGAAAGGACCTAAATGCAGACAACAAAGGATTTATTTAAAAAGAATTAAATTTAAAAGAAAACATCAAAAACTGTCTTTAAAATGTCCAACTAAAAGATCCAACAAAAGACACTGGGGAAAAATTCACAAGGAACAACAGGGGACACAGGCATATGCGCACATCGACATACGATGAACCAACCAGGACAGAGGTGAAGACAGGGACTTTATACACACTGGTAAACGAGCAACAGGTGGGGCTAACGAGACACAGGTGAAAGTCATAGGTGACTAACGAGGGAGGGAAAACTAGGGAAGTAAAACCAGACTAGAAACACAAGGAATCAACTACTACGAAATGATATGGAAAACACTGAAAACTGATCTAAAGAGTAAAACATTGAGAAAAGGAGGGAAACAAGGTCAAACACAAACTGAAAACTCACAAGACTGGACTACAGGGGAACAGGAACAATCGGAAAAATACACAAAATGCACTCAAATAACAAAATTAGGCAAAAACTAAATCAACAGAACAAATGACGTGTAGTGAAGTACAGTAAAACTTACAATCCCTCACTGCAGATATAGACAAACACCAATATAATGACGTTGCTGTTTTGTAACCAGTCTAAAGCGCCAGAAAAAAAAAAACAGTACGAAGACTGCTAAAACCTTCTAAACCTTGTATGTGTGGTTGAAATATAGCAAAATCCAGAGAAAAAAAGTACCCAGTACCAGTCCTATTGACTCCATGGATTTGAGTTTGATTAGCGTACTGCTAGCTTGTGTAATATTGAAAACAGATGGTACCAGATAGAGCTACACGGCTGCACAAAAAACAAACATTGCTGAGCGTTGAAGCATAGAACCTTTGCAACCAAGCACTGAACGATTCGATGATTCAATGAACGAATCTTTAAAATGGATATTTTTAGTGAACCAAAACTATGGAATAATCTGGATGCATCTCGAAAATCAATATTATCCTTTAAAATATCATTGAAATCTCATATAATCATGTCTTAAACACATCATTATTTGTTACAATCATGTTTCTTTCCTTTTTATGTATCCTCATATTGCTTCTATCTCTGGTTGATGATTAGTCTATGTTCTATTTATGACAATTCGTATATGTTTTGACCTTTCCCTACTCATTTTATATTTATAACCTGTCTATGTCTTAGTTACTTTGTTGTTTGCACCCTATGCCTTCACTGCCCTATCGGATTCATTCCCTCCTTGCACTGTTTCTAATCTGTGCTAAATAAAATAAATAGAAAAATAGAAATAGAAAAACCTGTTCAGTGATTCAGTACAGCTAAAAGAACTGCTGCGCCCATCACTATTGCTTTGGCCTACATTATGTTTTCAGCAGAGGCAGTAACACACACTCACAAACAGAGAATGACACTATGTTGAGATTTGTCTTGCATATTGGTCATGAAGCCACCACTCACCCAAGTCCCCAAAATGTGCACTTAATATTAGGATTTGCAGCTATATGATACACAAGTCTTGCTTTTTGCTGTGCGTATACTGCAGATGCTTCATTTGCAGTTTGAGCTTGCAGAGCAAAAAACACAGATTTCTGCAAAGATGGGTATAAAACAGTCAGTGGAAATACAGAAAGATTAAAAAAAAACAGACAAAGAAAGGATCAAGGTGTTCTTACTCAGCCGGTTTACAGCATATTGCATCACTTGATCAGTACTTTACTTACAGACAGTTCAAACAATAAACAAATTGTGGATGGAAGTCATCATCCTATCACTGCTGGATCAAAGGAGCTGTAGCTCTTCAATTTTCGAGTCATGAATATTCAACGAGGGGCTCCAGGTTGGAGACACAATGCAGCTTTGTGTGAAAACAGCGCATTGTTAAGAATCACAGAACTCCATTTTTCGGGAGCTGCCACATGAAATAAAACTTTCACCAGTCCTGTAAATCAAGTTGGGTTTTTTAAAGTTTCAGTAACCGCATCCCGGTATCTCCGAGGCAGCTGGAAGTTGTTAGGAGATTACGATCTGTCTATTTTTATGATGACAGTTCTCACCTCCTCTTTGTTTCTGCACTGCCTACAGCCTCTCATTCTGAAACTCTGAAAACTTCTACCACTACTGCAGGTTTTCTTGGAATAATCATCTGATTCTCACTGAGTCTGGGGCTGAAATTTCTTTTACTCGCTATAGGGGATACAAACCAAGGATTTATTGGTTATAACGTTTCAATTTTTGCAGCTGTAAGTGGTTGTGCCATTTTTCAAAAGGGGCATTTTATCTTAGCTTGTCACATTCGGTCCACTCATTAGGAGAGGGACAGCTCAGTTGTGTAACGCCTCCTGCGTCTCCCAGGGAGCTTTGTCACGTCTGGCGAAATTGATGATGTCATCTGGTTATTTCCGCTTGTGCTTGAAGACACATTTTTAACAACTAACCTACATTACAAACCGAGGTCGTTTTGTTTGAAAGACATGGGAGTTAATGCAGAATGCGTTATAGGAAATTGAGAATCTAACATGTTTGAGCTAAAGCAGCAGAGGGGACTGGACGCCACTGTATTCAAGCACGCACTGAGTAATTTTTGACCATTCTTGTAAATCCTCTCTGATGGACCCTTTTGGGCTAATGTCACAGTGACATCAAGGTTTTAGCTGAAGGCTGAACATACAAAACTGGGAAACATGAATCACCACCACAGTGTGGTTCACAGGTGACACAGGAGTCTAAAAATGGCATCTCATTGTGTTGTTGGATACCAGATTGGTAATATCCTGAAACTGAAAGTCTTTTATACAATTTCAGCTGATATAAGTCAGAAAGCAGCATTTTCCAGGCTCAAATATGACCTGTATCACGGCTGTAATTACTTTTTCAAAAGCCCGTTTTGGTCCCCTGCAGTTTTAACCATCCGAAAACAATGTTATTTGACGCTATAGCAAACCGATATACATCAGGCACTAGCACCAAGCGGCCGCTCAAGCCTCAAGCGAGAACTGGTTTCCCTCGGTTTGGACCGCCCACAATGTCCTTTCATTAGCTCTGCTGCAGGGCGGCTTTTTTGTGTGATTGGCTATCGGTCATTCCATGTCCGCTGGACTAGTGTTTTGCAAGTTGCTTTTAAGAGTCAGTTCGTGAACATCGCTATTCGTGGATGTAAGTTTACAGGAGGGCAGGGTCCTTTTTCCCTCCATAACGTCGCATTCATCATCCCTGTATCCCCTCTGGCCGTATTGCCTCCTCTGTTACTGTGTGTGCAAGATGTGCTGTTTGCTAAGCTATATGTCTCAACAGTACCCAAGTTACATGCCCCCCTCCACCCTACCTTTGAAATCAAAATTTTGTCCCCACAAGTTGGCAGTATCAGCAAGACAGTCAGCGTTCAGGAGGGTGTGCACCTGTCAGCCATTAACAATCAAAGCGTGAGACTCCGCCTCCATTGAGAAAGAGAAAAGCAATGCCCCAGCCTTGACATGTCCACTACTCATGACAATAGCGTGTCATTTCCCTAAAAGATCCTCAACATCCTGTGCTGGTAAACAGGACCAGATGGTTCCTCCTATGGGACCACTTTGCCTCACTAAAACAGTCGCTATCAAATGGAAAATTCAAAGGTCAAGTAAAACTCATTTTGGTTAGAAAACCAACAGGCAACACCTCAGAGGATACAGCAATTTCTGCAGTTTGAAAGAAACTTTGTCTTTGTTTCATTTCCTGTGAAGAGTTTGCAATTTTAGATAATGATCCACGGCTGAATAAGGAACAGTATTCATCTTTGCGGAAAACAGCAATCAATTTAGAAATGCAATTTAAAAAACTGACCTCTCCAAGTCCCAAAAGGTTTGTTTTCACCTGTTCCTTTAAAGATTTAATTGAGTAGAAATCTTCTTTTCCTTTCATTGCAATGAAAAAGCAGCCTTGCCGTTGTCTGTATTTACCTTTTCAAGCATACAGATGATTTTTCCTTTCATTCCGACTGAAGTTAACCCTATGTTGTGTTGTTGTGTAGCACAGCCCATGATGTCTAAGAAAAACTGATTGTTTATTCAGAGAAAGATCAGGTTAGGGCAGAAAGGTGCAAAACAGAAAGTAGAGTTCAGCAAAAATGCATTCAAAGGTCAGAGAACAATGTAGGCAGGAAAAAACAGAAGAGGAGGCCTCTTCTGGTGTGGGACAAAAGGGCAAAAAGTTGAGGCAGAAAGCCAGGTGATGTGTATTCAGGGAAGTTTGGGCTGAATTAGGAGGAAGTTTGCAGGTAAGTCTTGGAGTCTGGCAGTGAGGAGAGACCAGACGTGACAAGGACTCCTGGAGGATAGAGAGTAAAGACGGAATCGATTTATGATTACACATTCACAACGAGAGAAAGACGAGATCTAAATGGACGAGCCTCAATCACAGAAAGTATTCATGGGGAACTTGACCTTCCCAGTTGGTACTTGGCTTATCTTCTTTCAAGCCCCAGTGTACAACAGAGTAAGTTGTTCTGTGAAATTATTTTAATACATAGAAACAACCGCTCTCTTTCTTTGCATCATCAAACATTGCAGTGTGTTATGTTAGACACTTGTTACCCCCAATTTGTACTGCATCCGGAATGGCTACGAAGAGGCCGTATTCGCTGATCGCAGCTGATCGTAACCATTTAAGTTAATGTGTCAATTTCCACCGGCTTCGGCAGACTCCGCAGCCGATCGCAAGAGTTCTATTTTTTTCAGATGCCGGAGCATGCTGGACAAATTCAGCACAGATTAACCTGTGCTGGAAAGGAAGTCGTGCGCAGACAAAAAATAAAACATCCGGCTTCTTTTCAAAATAAAACACTCCGTATTTCAGGTAGATCGTATTTCACACCATGCAAACAGGCAGAGACGAACAAGTAAGTGGATTTCCTCCTCTGGAGGGACATAATCTACTGCTTATATGGTTAGCCTCTATGGCTAGAGACAACTTGTTATCGTGCAATAAGTTGAATCCCCAGGTTCTTGTGAGTTCTCATGATTCCTGCTGTCCGTAATCTGCCAGGAAATTCGCCTCATAAACGGATCTGGTAGGAATTGGCGTATGGCGAAAATCGCCTCCGTTCTGGATTGGAGCCATTCTGGAAATCCCGGGTTACACTGCGTTCTGTCAAGTTACATTCTGTTACATTGTGTCCTGCTTATATGCACTGTTGTGTTACACTTTTTAACCATGCCCCATTTTGTTACATCCTGTGACACTTGATTACGTTTCGTTACATTATGTAACAATGTTACATCCTATAATGTTCGGTAACACCCCATCATGTTACATCCTGTAATGTAATCTATAGTAATCATGCCTCCGAAATGTAACATCCTGTCATGTAACACCTCATATGGTTTTGTCCAGTTATGTAACAACCTCTAATGTTGCACTCTTTTTTGTTACACTAATTGTAACAACACAACCTGCAGCGACAGCCTGCAGTTACAGTCTGTTACATCCTGATTTTTTTTGTGATGTCACATTACATCTTGCTTTTAGCACAATTGCATCAGATCGCACTATGTTACATCCTGTTACATTGACTTCTGTTATGTAACATGTAATGTTGTGTTACATTATATCCTTTTCAGTAACCTCCTGTTACAAAACAGTCTGCAACTCTGCACATTGTTTTGTTTTGCCTCATGAATATAACATCCCATTATGTTACTACCTTTTCAGTTTTGCCTTGTTACATTCTAGCCCGTTATGTAACATTTTTAACTGTCCTGTTACACTAAATCCTCCTTCAAAATATTGTCATGTTGTGTCCTAATATGTTTGACAGAATTCTTTTTCATCACTACCCAACATGTCCTGTTACGTAATGTCCTTTACACGTTACATTATATTATGTTACAAGCAGAGCCAAAGACAACTTAAGGTCTGTTTGTGTACTTCTGCTGAACTTTACACAAAATTAAAACAATAAAAGGTTGTGAATTATTTACTTGTCTTAATGCTTAACAACCATTATGGCAGGGAATACAAAAATACAAACACTTGAATAATAAATGTGAGCATTGCTATGAACCTAGAATCACAAACAGAGTTAGAAGTAAGATTTTTAGTAGTCAGCTTTAAAATTTTGTGGTGCATGAGGAATTTTAAAATACCCTCTGACTTGACACTCAGCAAACATACCAATGTGGGCAGTAGTGGACTTAATTTTATTCCAGTGTTAGATGTAGAGAGAAAAAAGTGTCATGTTATATTTGATAATTATTATCTTTAATATTGATTGTCTGCTAAGTAATTGTTAATTCGCAGGAGTCTGTGACTAGATCTCTTTGATTTGTTGGCCCTCCATCTTTAGACGTGGAAAGGATTCTAACATCAGTCCTTGAAAAGTCATTGCTTGTCACTTGCAAAACAATGGCTTTGTCCCACCTTTGCCTCTGGACATTATCTGCCTCTCAACAAACATCAGATAATGAATGGGAAACCGTTCCGTCACTTTCATGTAATACCGCTTTATAGTATTTTTATAGAGCAGAATTGTAGATCATTTCCTTTTTCACATCTTAATGACAGGCTATAATCTGAGAGAAATTATAATCACCCCTTTCTGGAAACAAATAACTCCTCAGATAGAGCGCCATAATGCACTCAAATTACATTACAGCACCTTCCCTTGAAAAGCAAATCTTGTCTAAATAGCTTCAATTATTTTAAACTGCGCTGAGTGTTTGTTCAGAAATTGCATTTGCACAAGAAATGAGGCATCGTCGGGCTCAAGGACATACACCTTTTGAAAGTAAGTTTGCTCTCCTTGGGAGCCGCTTTCACTTTATCTAAATGCTTTAGAAAACTACTGTAACTGCAGCAAAGTCGCTCCGTGTGTGCTGTCTTTGAGAGTAGTCTTAATTAGAGTGCCAATTGGAAGGAGACGGTCCAATGGTTGAATATCCGCAACAAAGAAGTCTATTATTTCAAAGCGAGACCAGTGTGTTTCTTTAAAACTTCCAGCTGGAATAAAGAGGAAAAGGCCTTTTTACTTCAACTGTTTGGCACCTTTTGAAAAATTGGTAAATTTATTCCTTCCAGTCGTGTTCGAAAGCCAGTCTGCAACAAAGATCATCCCACCCACCCGCACGCGGGCACACGCATACAAAAGGCACAAAAACCGCTTGTGCGATACCACCCACTGAACAGGACAGCCGCGCGCAGGCATGCATGCACACGCTCACCCACACGAGCGTAGACAGGCATGTACGCGAAGGCGCCCACTCATCCGCACGTAGGCAAATGTGTGTGTGCACGACCAATCAAAGGGAATGGTGGGCACCGCTCAGCTTTCAGGTGGATTTCTTTAAATTCACAGAGCAAAGAGAGGACAGGCAAAAGACGTTATGTATAATCACCTCATTTTAAATACGTATATACCCGAAACGGATAATCCCAAACAGTCATATTTAACCGTTATAAGGAACACAATGTGGGAAATTTTAAATCTCAGTGACATTAGAGTGAGCTTTGCAGTGGACAGAGGAGAGAGAGAGGAAAGGAAGTGGGATTGAAGCGAGGAAGAAAGCAGGTAGGGATGACCAAACGCCTGATTTTCCCTTTTATTGATTTCTTCCGCCGCTCCGCGTGCCGTATTTATCTTCCGGCTGCACGCTGACATTTACACAGGCAGACATACAGTACAAACACACATTTATTACCAGCAAAGACCTCTTGGACAACCTCCAATTCTTTGAAGCTTCCTCCAAACCTTGTCTACTTCAAACTAAAATGCGTACAAGTGTGACTCGGTTTTAATGTCCAATAGTGGCATGAAATTGAAATCTTTAAAGGTCATTACCGGGCCGGCAGTTCAGCTGCCGGTACTTTTTCTTGGTGCCAATGTAATTCATTTCACTGCGGGGAAATCTGCCTGCCCATTCAGGAAAATAACACAAACATCGCACACAGGTATTCGGATAAATTCAACAACAGGCTGCGATGGCGTACAGCCCTGAAAGTGGCGAATGCCCCTGAAAGCCCTCAAAGTGGCGTCGAAGCAGCTGAATAGAAATTCTTGAAATATCTGTCATAGTTGCTGGAAGTTTGCAACTCTCACCAAAGTGAAGGCGCTATTGAGCGAAGTTATTCACATTACGAAGGACTGAGTGACTCCATTTCTCTGCTCTTTTCAAAAGTCCTTCAACACTGTTTGTGCGGTCGACAGTCAAGCCGCCACATTGTGTCTTTGCATATTCAGACTCTTACTCTTAAAAATGAGCCTTCTAGAAATGTTGAAAGAGCCTTATTAAACTGTAGTTTCTTATTTATAAAGCAATCAGTCCTTGTCTTGAGTGAAGTGCAAGATTTGGGAACTGAATGTTCTACAAAAGTCAGAAAAGTCACTTTTTTTGCAATAGTTCAAGAATGACTTCGATTCTTTTGATCTGCTTGGAAAAAGAACCGGGGCTTCACTGCTTTAAAAATTAAACTCCTACTTAATATCAAATACCCTGTTGAGTAGGGGGCTTACACTTTGGGGATTATCATTATCATGAGAAATGGAGCATCAGCCAGTTTTAACCTACATTTGTGGATGATGTGACCAAATGTGTTCACAGTAAAACGGCTTTTGAAGCGATTTTGAGCTCATGCGGTGACCTCCACTGCAGAGTCATGTCTATTTTTAATGTAGTGCAGCAGGAGATCATAACCATCAAGTATTCATGTTCAGATTTGTGCAGACATATCTCTAGAGTCTCTGATATTTTGTACCATACATTAATGATAACATTTAATTGTATGTTTTAATAGATACAAATGGATGATGAGAGTACGGAGCAGTCTTCCCGCTTGACTTTAATTTAAAAATACAAACGGCCATAATATACATTCTCCGACTGTGTGAGTTTGAGCTTTGTAGCCAAAAAAATTCAATAATAAATTTGGTCTTTGAGGTTAAAAGCTTCATCGAGGGCAGAAAAGAGACAATGAAAAATTAATTCCAGTGCAGCGTCTGGCTCCATCACTCCCAATAGCTTATACATTATTATTTAAGCAGCAGACTGCAATCAAATCTGCATCTCTATAGTGTATTTCATTCCAGCAAGGCCCCGTTATATCAAGAAGGATGGAAGTGGATGCCAATAGCAAATGGGCTTTCTCTTTTATGGACTCTCCATTTCCCCGTTCCATGGATGTTTAAGAGAGCTGAATGCTAATAAGATGGCGCCCATCTCATCCCGAAGTGAGATTCTCACTGGAAACATAATGCCAGAAAACTTCCACCAAGTCCTCGAGGCCTCTATATCTTTTCTGGGCCCTCTTTTGGCACCGAGAGTATGAGCACTACAGTCCATTGAGACTTCGATGAGTGATTTCCTCTTGGCTCCTTTCACACATGAATAGCATACAAATAACTGATTGATGTGACCCTTTGAAATGGATCTGGTTGCGCTGGAGGAACAGATTGTTCGTGCATATGCTTTAGAGTGTAATGCAATGAATGACAATGTGTAATAATGCTTTTTGGCTCATTGTGTCTCACTTTTTTTTTATCAAATTACAACTCTGTCCATGTGTTGGATCAGTTTGAAAATGCCGACTCATGGATAGTTGAAAAATGTGGAAATACTACATGTGAAGGTTGACGTTTAAAAATGTTAAGTTAAGGTCCTTACACAATGGGAACGTTTTTTTTTTTGTGCAGTTATTTTGGACGTCAAAAATTTTTTTTGGAACCCGTATCCTGTTAATACAAACGTTCACATCAGCGATGTTTTGCCGTCCTGCGATATTGCGGCATTTATTTTTCGTATCACGGTCGACGTTTTAAAGTTTCACATACTGTGTGTCCACTTCTGACCAATCAGATTGTGTGTTGTTGCGACGTCTGATTCACTGGTAAATTCAACATGGCCGACCGGCTGATTGTTTACATGTTGGAGAACAGACACAAACATTACAAAGATAACGACCTGAAGGACAACTTGTGGAGGGTCACGATGGTTTGTGTGCTTTAACAGTTTGTTAAACGTCTTTGTTTTAACTTTCATCTGTGCTAAGTAACTTTAGCTCGTAAGCTAACCTGTTCAGATAGAACATACCATATGTATTTTCACTGTCTCAAACTCAATCGTGTTGCTGTCACAGCACCATTAGGTCTCGGTTGTTACCTTACGTTTATGGATTATAGTTTAATGTGCTTATTAGGGGGTTCATGTTTACCCCCTTTGGCACCCCTTCATGGATTTGCAGCACCTTCTGATTTAACTAATTGGGTTCTGCTAAGAAAGTTGGAAACCACCCAAATTGTTCTTTAGCAAGACATAGACAAGACGAGTAGGCCTATCAAGTCACCTAACCTTGAGTGGGAGTGGGAACTTAGCGGGTCAAAATGGGTCAAATAACAAGATTAAAAGGTCCAAAATTACCACAAGACGTCACACTGCTGAGGAGGGACAGAAAAACTGACATCTTGGGTTGAAAGTAAAAGGTTGGCTCGCCCAGGTATGTTCGACTATTTGCCTTAACTGTCAAAACGTAAAAACTTTGAAAATGTTTGGCTTCATACAAAACGAGTGGCTGTACACACGTTCTCTGCTGTGTTTTCTGTTTCCCAACCACTTCTGCCTTGGACACTATTTGTCTGTAAGTCATGTATGAATAATGTTGCCACTTTAAGACGGTTTTGAGTATATTATGCGAACTGACTTATGTTTTGTTTCAGTTTTACAATTCAAGGAAATCAAGTTAAATACATGAAAAGTCAAGCCTTGTGTTGTTATTGGAGGACTCCTAAGATGTTACCCGGCTGTCTAGCTTTGCATACAAGTACACAGTACAGTAGAATTGTACTTCCACTTCATCATACTCTTGAAGCAGTACTATCTAAGGTCCTAAACGCTCTCCAAAGGACCCTCAATTGGTCCAGCACTTGCAAATAATGAGCGTTTAGGGGCGACTACTAAACTTTGCTGTTATACCTGCTTGAATAACTTTGCCTACACAGATAATGTAACAAAATCCTCCTATCATGTAGAAATGTGTGCATAAATAGTACAGTATATATATAGATTAATTGGAGGGACTCTGTGTTTCAATCCCTGAGCCTCTGCTCTGCAAATGACTTGCGTGGGATTATTCGAGGAAATAAATGACAGCTAGGCGGCTCACCTGACAGCGCGCTTTCTGAGGTGAGAAAATGTCTCGTATTCACTCATTGTAGTCTTTAGTCTATCTCCGTAATAAGACCCAGAGAAGGTGCCGCAATCTAATGTGCCGAAACTCCATAATCAACTCTCTGGTTGACCTACATTTGATTCGTCCTGGAGATCAGGATCAGACTTCCGTATCATCGGTTTAAGCTTCTCGGAATATCTTGGCCGTCAATCACAGGACATGCTTGGCCAAGGCAGGCTCAGACCTGGATGTGTATCACGGATATTTCTCAGATAGTCTCTTGGCCACCAAGACAGTGTCCCTTCATTTCAGCCACAGCCGGCGCTCCATTTGGCGTACTCGGCGAACCCTTTGATTACTGTCTTGCATGTCTGAGTGTAATGAATTTCCCTGGCATTTACTCACTGCCAACAGCACTACCTAATTCTGTAACCACCAATGTTTGTCTGTGTATGGTCTGTTGTTTTTCACTGAGTCTGTTGTGCAGTGGCATTTACATCTCATTTCAGGAAGTCTCGACACACTGCTACTTCTCTTTCCAATCCTGTGTGACTTCAGTCGTTACACGCCGCCTTAAATGTACGCTTTTTTAAATGTTTTATTTTTGTAGTAATTGTGGAGAGTTGTTCGCTATCAGCACTCTTTGAAGGCCGGTTCATGAAACTTCGAAACTTTCTCAAAACTCAAGAAGTTGTTGGAGAACGAGGCCCTCTGGTCTTCAAAATTGCGCACTTAATTTCACTTGATTTGCAAGAAAAAATATGGAATAAAAACACTTAAGTATTCAACAAAACATCCTAAGTGCTACACATATATAAATCCAGACAATCTCAGCAAGGTTAACTCATGTTTCATTAAGTAAACTACGTTCCTTTATACTGCGCTGTTACACTCAGAGTTAGCAGTTAAAAGTCTTGTTGGGGTCCACACGGATCAGGGATTGACCATCGGATTGTTCTGTGTTCCTGATCAATCCATAACAAGGAAGTATTTCTCATCTACTTGAACTTGTACACAGTAAGGGGTCCGCATATGGTGTTTTATTTTGAAATACCGGATGACATGAACGGTTTTAATGCTTGACTTCCTATCTAGGACGATCTTCTCTGTGTGGATTGGCGCGCATTGGAAGCGTAGAGCAGCAAAATTAGACTCGCTGCGTATCTTTATTTGAGCTGCTCTCGATACGCTGGTGCCACACTCCAAATACGCGTCCTGTATGTTTAAACCTTAACACCTAAATCCCAACATCAGGGATAATTTACAGATTTTAACGCTCTCCTTTCTGTATGTCTTCCGTCGTTTGTGTAATTTCCTTGCAATGTCAGACACTGTTAAAACCTCTAATTTGGAAAAAGTAAGTAAATTCATAACGCCATGTATGCCACAGTCACTCGTGTCATATCCCACCATGACATGGATTTTGCCCTACAACTGCCGGGTCGAACAAGCCTTCATGTTTTCGCACAGACATTTTTGGTTCGGCTGCACAGACGACAGTCCCTGAACACAGATGCAGCCACAGTGAGGGGTACAGGAAAGCAGTTAAAAGAGTAATTGGTGAGTAGCAAGAATGTAGATTGGATCCTGGTCTTCTTCCTGTTCCGCTCTGCATCTTCAGACACTTCAGAGCCCCGTCTCCCTCCCCTCTCTACCACAGTTATCGGGCAAACTTGCGTTCTTATCTCTCTAAGTTTGATAGCAATTAACAGCGCTGCGGGGCTTTGTAACTCAGTCACGATGACTTAGAAGTCTGTTTCAACCAAGTACTCCGTTGTCTTGAAGTGAAAATGATTAAAAGGAGCAGGCTTTGACTCATAGTTAAAGCTGTGACAATTGATAATATAACGCCTCAGAATTTTGCTAATTGTAGCTCCACTGAAGTAAATTTAATAAATCGTTAGCTTAATTTTTCTTTTGTTTTTTCAAAATTAAAGGCTCCCCATCCAGATGCCAGAGCTACTCATGATGTGGGCGTGTATGCAACACCAAACCATCATGGCTTTTGAGGCATGCCAGGTAGTCCCTCTCTTGGCATCCATGATTTCCAAGAAGAATGTTAAAGGCATGGTTGCCGATTGGAGAGATTGGTTATTATTATGAACCTAGTTTTTATGGCGATCATGGTCCTATAGTGCGATCTCCACAAAGTGAAGAGAAAAAAGAATGGAAAAAATCTGTTCACCCTAGCAGGGCTGCAAAAACACTGACCAATGGGAGCCAGCTGTCCCGGACAGCTCCCATTGGTTATTCTACTGCTCCGCCTCTTCATCCAATCACCTCGCTGTATTTGACACACCACCTCCTGTAGTTCCGACTCATTCCCTCCCACTCTCTCCGGCTGAACCGCTAAAAGTAGCGTAGCAGCTTAGCTACAGGAGCCGTGATCGAGAAGGACCCGAAAGAACGAACACTCCTGCTTGCCCCATCACCAAAAGTGGAGAGAAAACGCAAGCTGACAGAAAAAAGGGCAGAGACGAAGAGGAAATTTGACCAAGTGAGGAATCTTAACCCGAAAAAACATGGGGTCATCCTTCAAGCGGTGGAGAAAGCTTTGACTGACACAACAGCAGACTGACTGTTTTTCAGTTCTGATTGGACACTAGTGTTGAGATGTCTGTCTGTCATGATAGCATGTACTGAGTCGGGGCCAGTACCAGATAAGCACATTAAACTATAATCCATAAACGTAAGGTAACAACAGAGACCTAATGCTGCTGTGACAGCAACACGATTGAGTTTGAGACAGTGAAAATACATATGGTATGTTGTAGCTGAACAGGTTAGCTTACGAGCTAAAGTTACTTAGCACAGATGAAAGTTAAAACAAAGACGTTTAGCAAACTGTTAAAGCACACAAACCATCGTCATATGAGAAATCCGACGCTATGACTCACCACGGGTTATCCTTCAGGTCGTTATCTTTGTAATGTTTGTGTTTATTTATCGAAAAGCACTCTGTTCTCCGACACGTAAACAATCAGCCGTGGAGTACAGAGGGGAGAGGTTTGTGTGTGGGGGGGTGGAACACTTTTTCCAAATCTGCCTCAACAGCTCAGTTTTTTTCAACTGCTTCTCAGATCGTCAACCATGTCTTTAAATTTTGATTCAAAGAGCGGTCATGAGAAATTGCTAGCAAACGTAGCTACCTCTTGGGCAGCACATAGAACGTCAAACGCATCGCTTTCCATATTTAACACCATGACTGCCTCCTCAACTTCAGATTTATATTTCTTCATAAAAAGCCACTAAATGATGATTTTACCGAGCCTGTTGTCTGTGAGAGTGTGAGAATACATTTATTACAGGAGGTAGTGTGAGTTACAAGCTTCAGCAGAGGCAGCTCGCTGAGAGACGCTGATGTTTTAAAATAGCCTGACTCACGAGGAAGGAGAAAGACACTATCTGTCAGATCAAGTGCGCTCCATTAGAAACCATTAGCTTTCATTTGTCTGTTTTTCTTCTCCTAAGGGGCTCTTTCCACACACCCAAACTCCCCCTCCTCGCTGGAAAAACCTCCCTTACTTGACTCCAGGGTGCATCTTTGTGCATCTGCATGACATCAGAGAGTCCCTCATCTTTGTTTTGCTCTATCTCTATGTCTTATTCATCTGTTTATGTTTTAATAAACATGACATGAGCGCTCTTCGGGGCCATTTTGGGTATTCGGGTTGGAAATGTTTTTGTGTTTGTTTCAATTTTTGGAATTACTGCTGTTGCCTAGCATCCGTATCAAGGTTTTATCCGGCTTTGGGAAAGGTAAAGGGACTCATTCTTGTAAACAGCGATGACGTACGACAACCCGAACATTTGAATATCATATTTTTATTAAGTGCGGCTAGATTTTACCCCCCTCCAGACCAGAAAAGCATGTGTGTGTCTAGCGGTGACAAAAAAAACATGACTGCACTCCTGCTGATGGAGTAGTTCCTTTCATAAATCATGAGTACATCTCATAACTTCAAGACTCTGGGAATAAGACGCACATTGAGACGGCGTCTGTGTGTGCGTGCATGTGTTTTCCGTCTCCAGATTGAATTCTTAATCTTGCCATTCGCCGTTTCATCAGTTGTTGTGGGAAATGATGCATCACTCCCTGGATGTCAGATATAATAACAATACTCTCCGATGTCAGATATCTTCCTGCTGAGCGCCAATAAGACATAATTAAAAAATCTTTGCTAAACTTTCAAACGCATAAACAAACACAAGCACATGGCGGACGTGTGTTTATGAGTTCTGGAGCGTCACCCTTATGTGTGACAGAAATATGGCGGGGTGATACAGTATTCTCAGAAACTGACACATCACCTTCAGGCAGGTTTCTGCTCGACTGCTCCCATGAGAAATATTGTCCCTTCTTTTTTTATTTCTCTTACAAATGAAAAAAAAAAGAGGGGAAAGAAAAATGTTCCTGGAGCTGTAATTCGAAGCATGAATCATTGATGAATGGCCCACATCCGCCAGTCGCTGGTGGTGACACATTGTTGTACTTTCGGTGCCAGGGCTGCACTTTCATTTCATCAAATGAAGACAGATTTCTGACATCGTGCTCTCCCATTTCAAATCTCCAATCACCTCAGACCCCCAACTCCTGAGGTAATTGAAGAAATACAGTCTTTCTTGAGCCAGGGCAGGTGTCATATGTTTCCTTGTTCCTGGCTCCGGACCCGTTTCATCAACCGCTCTATTTTGGCGTTTAATCGGCGGAACGTGCAATTGACAGACCCTTTTGTAAAGGAAGTCTTTTCTGGAAAGGTCAGGTAAGTTCACTGATTTGAAACACGGTGGAACTGCTTTTTTTCATTCTCATCTATCTTTAAATTGACCCCAAACCCCCTAAAGGCGGCATAAACCTCCACGTCCACAATGTTCTTTCTCAGCAGCTGAACATAATATGTGGCCAATGTAGTCAGTGTGCCAATGTTTAAAATGATGACACTGGTTGCACCCAATCTTAGAACCTATTGGGTGTAGTTTGACGCTTTATAGCCTCTGGTACCAAGTGACAACTTTTCATGGCATCCTGATGAGGTACTCCAAGATTTAAACTTTCTTGTGCAGCTGTAGTTCACAGTCCAACTAGCAAAGTGAGCGGCAGGGAAGTAGTTGGTGTGGCTACCTGGAAGTATGCTGATATATGTGTTAAGACACCCCACTTCCAAAGTAGTGAGGAAACAGTGTAAAAAACACAGATTTTGATCGATTGCAAGTCAATTAAACTATTTATTTTATTTAAAGTAGTGCAGTAACAAAATATAGATCAACATCATCTGGGAGCCATTCATTATACACAATTTTTTATTTTTATTTTTTGTATTTCTCTTAATGAAAAGAACATAAAATTATTCACCATAATACATACATACATATATATATATATATATATATATATATATATATATATATATGTATAAAATAACTTCATACACACACACACACACACACACACACACACACATATATATATATATATATATATATATATATAATAACTTCATAAAAAAAATTTTTAAATCGTCAGATTAATCGGTAATAGAATTTTTTTCCCATCTAATAATCGGTATCGGCATCTGCCCCAAAAAATCCATATCGATCATGCCCTAATACATACATACATACATACATAGATCAAATGAAATACTAGCACTGTACCATGACATATGTACATTTAAAAAATTAATAAATAATAAATAATAAACAAATCATGGATTTAAAAGAACATTTCTCTCATGATCTATTTTATAACCCACAACCAAACTACGGTTAATGTACACTGAGGCAAAGGAAGACTGCATCAAATCAAAACCCGACATTTTTCTTGGAAATCATGGACACAAAAGGGGACTCCCTTTTGCAAAGTTTTTTTTTTTTTTTTTCTTTCCTGATTTAATAAAGAAAAAAGTCCAGACTTGTGTAAAAAAGACAGGGAGTGTAGTTACATACATTTTTGAGTTAAAAAATAAATGAGTAAATCTAGAAGCCTATGATATGTGTTTAATTAAGAGTGGCCTTCTGGTTGACATTTCTACCAAGAGTTTATTTTCTTCAACTCAGAATAATCTTGTCGAAACTGTTAATTTGTTTCTTGGTCCAACTTCAAATTAGAAATGGCAAAAATGAAACCCTTGAAAAAATGAACAGTAACTTTGTTCCAAAAGTTAGATGGATGTGAAATAGATTGTTAGGTTGATATTATCTTAATGATGGAAAGGAAGCTTCCAATTCCTCCCAAAAAGATAGTCTTGCCAATTCAAATTTATTGTTGCTTCTGTAATTGAACGAGGCAACTTAATTTACTGTGCAGCACTTTGGAGCGCTTTGTTTGATAAAATGTAATTAAGTGGATTGAATTGGATTGGATCTTTCAGATGAATTAAGAAACAGCCCTGTGGGACATAATATGGATTAAACAAACAACTTTAAAAAAGGTCAGACATCTTTTAGAAATCACTTGTAGACACTTTTTTGAAAAAAAAAAAAAAAAGATTTTCCCTGTATCATTAAAAGTTTAAAAGTTTAAACATATATCACTGCCTAAAAATTACTTTTTCCTCTTTAGATTTCTTTTAAAAACACTTTTTTTTTTTTTAAAAAGCACATCCACTCCTTTACCCTCATTGAAAAATCCAGAACCCATGAATATATAAATATCTTCAGTTCCAAAAGTTTTACTCCTGGATATGTGATGTCTCCTTCTTCATTAAAAAGTTATAATAGTCAAAAAGTTCATTCTCACAGAGTATGCACCATTAGGCTTTAAGCCTCCGCTGCACACTTACATATTGGACCATGGCAGGCGCCCCCCCCCCGAACAGCTGTGATGATACGAATCCTGATTGTCTGTACATATTTTAACTCAAGTCAAGCAGAGAAACTTCCCCCTGGAGCAGATGAAGTCTAAAATAGAGACATTGTTCCAAAAAGTATAGCTTGAACATTTAAAAAAGAAGAAACTACCTTTTAAATAATGGTCTACGAATGCATTTTCTCAAATACTGACTTTGTACATGAGTGAAGTTTCACTTCTGCAGGTAATAATGGCGAACAACATGCCCAAAACGACGGGTGGTCCAGTTAACAAGCAACTTCGAGCCTGTTTTCGCGACGAAAACCAGACTCGGATTAGGGTGGCACAGTAAGATTCAAATTGTAAAACAACCACTTAAAATCAAGGTTAATAATACTGTTTACCCAAAAATATATAATTACTGCAACATGGGAATTTCCCTTGTGATAGAAAGCAGCAAAACGTGTTAAACTTCTTAAAAAAAAAAGAAGAATAACCGTGTGTTTGTGCACAGAGTAATATGCGTTCATCAGCAGGGAATTCGAGGGTACCTGGTGGGTCTCAGCTCAGCCCTGTCCCTGTTTCTGCCCACTATGTCTTTGGTTGATTTAATTTTCTTTACAAGGACGAAATTCTCAATTTTATCAGACCTTTTCATTTTCTTTCATTTCCTTTGCTACTTTTCCTCCTGTGTGTCACCTGCCTGCCCTTTAAAAATAATCATGAAAACATTTCGATTACTCTGTCAAGTCAAAAACACTTTTGTCAACACTGAAAAAGTTTTTAGAAATCCTGGAAAATACAGCTAACTACTATAAAATGAATGGCTTGAACACTGACAGTACATTCTACGACTTAGTAGAAGTACTGTGTCCGAAACTTTAATGTCCTTAATTTGTTTGACTACACTATACAACGCGAAATTACGAAATATTCAGAGGCGGATTTTGATGCGCCTGACTATACACATCAAGCGCAATGCGATTTTGTGACTTTCTGGGGAGAAAAAAAGACGTGTCCCGGGTGAAAGCGAGAAGACTGACACAACACCAGACTGACAGTTTTTCAGTTCTGATTAGACACTAGTGTTGAGATGTCTGTCTGTCATGATAGCATGTACTGAGTCGGGGCCAGTACCAGATAAGCAGATTAAACTATAATCCATAAACGTAAGGTAACAACAGAGACCTAATGGTGCTGTGACAGCAACGCCATTGAGTTTGGGACAGTGAAAATACATATGGTATGTTGTATCTGAACAGGTTAGCTTACGAGCTAAAGTTACTTAGCACAGATGAAAGTTAAAACAAAGACGTTTAGCAAACTGTTAAAGCACACAAACCATCGTCATATGAGAAATCCGACGCTATGACTCTCCACGGGTTATCCTTCAGGTCGTTATCTTTGTGATATTTGTGTTTTTTATCAAAAAGTACTCTGTTCTCCAACACGTAAACAATCAGCTGGTCGGCCATGTAGGATATACCGATGAATCAGACGTCACAACAACACGAAATCTGATGTATGCGAACACAATATGCAAAACTTAAAGAAACTCGACCGTGATACGAAAAAATAAATGCAGCAATATTGCAGGACGGAAAAACATTGCTGATATGAACGCTTGTATTGACAGGATACGGGTTCAAAAAAAATATTGATATCCGAAATAATCGCACGAAAAAAATGCTTCCGGTGTGTAAGGACCTTAACTGTGGTCCATTAAGTATTTGCCCCCTTAGAAAATCATCACAGGACAAAAGTTCCTACCCAATGTAAAGGTTTAAATCTTGTGATTAGAGTGATGAAGACATGACTACTTATTTTAAAAATGACGAAACATTATACATTAGTAAAAGGTTGTAAATTTGACACTACATTTTAACTAACAAGCTACACGTTACAAATAGATGTAGTCATTTCCCTGCATCCCTGATTCTGATATCTATTTTCTTGTTTACAGAGGAAATCCAGCTCAACTCGATGCCAAGTCATGCCTGTTTAATGTCTTTTCAATTCGCCAGCAGACATATTTACCTGACAAAACACCAGATAGGAGTTTTGCAATATTAAAGCCGGCCCTCAATCCTGCATACATACAGCCAAGTATATCTAAAGCTCCACATTTCAGCTCCTCTGTCGTCTTGTACTGTGAAAAATGGGGAAAAAAAGAACAACTTGCGAATTGTTTTCTGGTGGGTTTTGATACAAAATTCATGCGCGGGTGTCGGGGAAAGACACAGAGTTAAACTGCCCGGTTTCTGCATACAGTTTGATGTGACATTCTCTCTCATCTGAAAGGGAAGGGAACAGTGGGAGCTTTGGCTACAGCCAGTGCGATAGCTCTGTGTATTATTATTCACAGATAAGGAGTTGTTTCCAACTGGGGCCACCCATGCTGAAAATGTTTGATTTTTTATAGCGTTAAACACAAGACAAAATTGAAACCAAAGACGTAAAGGGCTGAAGTGATGCAGCTCTGCTGCACATAGCAGGGCTTTGATGACGAAAAACATCCTAATAAAAGTGGAAGTATTGGGTTTTTCCCTGAAATTGGATGCAGCATTTTACAACCCTGATGTCAAAAATGTTGTCACACTGTGTGAGACGATGCTCCAAAAGATTGAGATGGTGTGCGAATCATGTAAACCTTTTATTTAATAGGAAATCATGAAAACACAGTCTGAACACAGCACCCAGTGAAAATCTGCGAACCGAGGTGACCAGTTTGTGGTGTTTTAAAAGTAAAATGTTATCCCACTCTGCCTGTCGTAGCCTGAATTTCAGCTGCTCCAAGTTCAGGGTGACCTTTGTTGTTTTTTTGTTTCATTATTTGTCAATTATAAACTGCAGGAAAGCCAGTTTAGCCCCAGGACTCTTGTTATGGAGGGATGCTGTGATGCCTACACAGTAAGGTCTTCCCTCCCACATGCATGGTCTGAATGGCAGCACATGTTGCTACAAAACCAACAAAAAACTAATGAATCACATAGCATTAGATTCAGTGCATTTCCAGATATGGTAGCAACTCATACCCCATGCGTTTGTGCATCCCCAAGTGTGCCTCTTTAGAATAAGGTACATGGCGTCCATGATTTCAAAAGGAACGTCAAATTTTGATTCATCAGACAAGAAGACAGTTTTCCTCTTCACCATCTTCCATCTTAGAGGTCCTGTGAGGAACTTTTTATGGTGATTTTGAACCATTTTTTCAAAGCAAACTTTTGATTGGCACTGATTTTGGCACCCCCTTTGACATAGAAATCTTTTTTTGCTTTTTTAGTCCTAGAGTTGTCATGAGCCAGGGTGAAACAAAAGTGAAAGCAAATGCAGACAAAAAAGGGTTTATTTAAAATGTACAAAAGGAAAGGCAACAGAAAACACAAGGAGAAAAAGTCCAACTACAGACACTGGGAATAAAAAAGGAAACGAAAAACGACCAGAGTGGAGATTTTGAAAAACTCTGTATGCATGTTTTCATGTAGAGTTAGTAAACTTGAGGAAAACTGCGATTTGGGTAGCCAACGGGAGAATTAGCGCAGGAAAAAAGGAAAGGACGCTGTTGTTGTTGCTGCTATGCAGGATTCTGATTGGCTAATGTGGGCTTATATACACAGGGAAACGAGCAACGATAGGCAGGTGCGGCTAACGAGACACAGGTGAGGCTAACGAGACACAGGTGCAGACAATTACTGAGGAGGGGAAACTGAGTAAAACAAGACTATACACACAAAGATGGACTACTACAAAATAAAACAGGAAACACTGATCTGAAGAATAAAACACAGAGAACAGGAGGGAAATAGGGTCAAACACAAAACACAGAGATAATGCACTTAAATAACAAAACCAGGGAAATACTAAATTAACAGAACATATCATGACAAGAGTTTTCAATCAATCGATCAATCAAACTTGAGACTAAGTGAGGTAGTTAGTGGATGAAGATTGTCGTGAGGTCGCTGCGCCATCTACAGGATAAGTCAGGGAACTTTTCAAATGGTGGAACGATTTCGAAGTGAAACCGAATCTTATTCTCCGCTTTTTATTTCTGAAAATATCGGCGAAAATCTGCAAGTGTAGTCTCAAACGGGCTAAAATTGGCCTATTTAATCGGCTCGTCGATAAATCGGTCGGGCCCTTGTTTTTATTTTGAGAACGATTAAAAGACCACGACCTGAAGACCTGAGGGCTCTACCAGGCTAATACGGTAAAAGCAAATCAGACAAAAAAAGAAGGACCAAGACCATTAAGAGCTTTAAAAACTAATAAAAGAACCTTAAAATCTTTTCTAAGAGACAGAGGGTGAACTTTTTTGACAAAAAAAGTTCACCTTGTAGCTTCTGGCAGACCTTCATTATGAATCTTTTATGAGTAAATTGTCAAACCAGGATTGTATATCATGCTTCCTCGCTCGAACAGGTTTCATTTCTATACAAATTAGGATGTAAAACTCATCAATCTTGTCCCTGTTGCTCTCGTTTGCCTTTGGGTATCATACAAAGACATCAATATGAATTTTAGCCTTTTTCATTTACGTTGAAAAACCCCTGATAGGAGCTTTAACCTGGGGTTGCAGAAAGAATAACTTGCAGTCGAATGCGGGTAATAAAATGAATTCAAATGCCCTGTAATTGCCGCTGGACTCTCTAATATTGCACCTTATTTCGCCTGAATTGGAGTGCAAAAGCAATATGTGTTTTGGGTGTTTTATTATCAGCAGCAGCATGAGTCATTGCGCTTCCTTTTTGCTTCCAGAGTCCAGGATATTACATGAGGGGAAAAAAGGTTTCAGGTCATGTTTTGGGCGATATTTCCTTTTTGGGGGGACTTTAATTTGAAATCAAATGATGAGAGAGTGACTTGACTTTAGTGGCGGCTTTACCTGTTTACTCAAACTTTTAGAAATAAAAAGGCTAAGGGTGGAATCTGGGAACTCGGCGCCGAGGCCACAAGTGGATTAAACTGTTCGCTTCTTTGTATTTGAACTGACTGTGTTTGCTTTATCTCACCAACAGACCACAAAGCATGCGACTAGGCGAGAAATAAACAGAACTAGGACCCCGTTGGGGCACTGGCGGGCCCGAGCTGTGTCGCGCCCCCCCCCCAACGCGCTGCCTCCCCGTCCCATTTGTGTCCTCTGGCCATCGCCCTCTTTGGTAACGCCCATCACTGCAAAGACCCTTTTCCTTCATCGGCGTTTGCTGTTCTTCCTGCCAGTGCGTGTTGCTTTCACTTACACTTGCCACAGCCAGCCTCGTGAGTGCCTAGCCTATTGGATATCACTGTCACCTACACAGGACAGTCATTACCTTTCTATTAATACTTTGTTTTTTAATTTCACATTAATTTCCAAATTGTATAAACGACTGGAAAAAACTTGAGCCCCTGCCCCTGTATAATCATGTTCACGTCTCTGTTCTAGCTCTAAGGTAAATCTTCACTGCTCATGTTCTCCTCAGAAGCAGTCACCTCACTCCCCTCAGGTTACTGTACACATGCACCAACTGCCTGCTTCAGGTTTGGATGGAGCTTCATGGTTGTCTTTTGGAGAAATGACCAGTCAAGTTGTGTTTGAAATTTGATTTTTTTCAGGGGCAAAAGGAGCCTCTGCATTCTTGTCAAATATGTAAATAGCATGTTTTTGCAGGTGCTACAAACCAGACTCTGAGTGTGTGTGTGTGCGTGTGTGTGTGTGTCTGTGTGTGTGTGTGTGTGTGTGTGTGTGTGCGTTCAAGTCACATGACATATTTAACCGGATGTAGCTGCAAGACGGAGCCTCGTTGACTCTCCGTTTCAACTTATCTCAAAAGTGAGGACCTCAACCTATATACCAGTTTTTAAATTGTGTTGATAGGCCAAATAAAACCAGAGTTATGATAAATTATGTCCGCGATACTTGTTTTCTGCTTATTTTGATCACGTTCGGCGCTCGATCGCGCTGTATGAGACAGGAAAACATAGCATGCAGACATTAGCGACAGGTCTTACAGGCGGAAAAGGCTTGCCAAAGGAAAAAAAATACACACCACAACATCTCTCCTATTGGTGGAAAACTTCACCACAACAACCAATCCAAAATTATATGGTGACTGATTGACAAGGGGCAGGAACTTACGTTCTTCCTGCAATATGAGAAGGGAGGGAGGGACTCTCAGCAGGGATGCAGTCTGGGACACGTAGTTGCAAACCTAGCGACTTTGTTGTTAGATTCAATGACTTTTCAGACCCCCTAACGACGTTTTTTTAGAAAGAAAGTGACTTTTATCGACTTCTTCTGGAGTTTAGAGACTCTGACATGAAGCAGGCTTTCCTTACTGAGGAGTTAGCAACGCTGCTAAGGGTGCAGAGCCACACATGCGCTCCGAGCTCTGC